TGCTAAAGTAGTTCGAGAACACTTGATCCCCACCAAAGTTGTCCTCCACTAATGATGCGGCAGTACTGTCTCCCCATACTGCAGGAATATTCCCTCTTCTTTTTATCCTTTGGTTTATATAGGAATACAAGCGTTTAGGACATTCTATGGATTCCTTAACAATTTTTTCTTCGTACAACTTTCTAGACTTACGGAGGGTCAAGGCACAGGCATCCCGAGCTTCTCGATACTGAGATTTTGTCTCATCAGTCCCCAGTAACCTAAATCTATCCCACATTTTTCTTCTCTTACGTAGAAGGATGCAGACCTCTCTACTGAACCATGGTGGAGAGTTTCTCGTCCCCCTTGGTATAATCCAAGTGACGTGGGGTGTGGTAACTTTTAAGTATAAATTTCGAAATGCGTCCCAAGCCGTTTCAATTGAGGACTCTGGGTCTATTGTCAAATCTACTAACAATGCTGAGTGTATGATATCTGTTTGCTTTCCAGACGTTAGGTCTGGATTGAGCTAACGAGTGCTCGTGATTGACAGTTATATGAAAGCTGAAACTGCGTGATCACTTTTACCTAGGTGGCGTGTAATGGAGGTTCGCAACGTCATCCTAATAGTGAGTTAATATAAGATCTAGTAAGGATGATTCAGTGTCCAGGTCGTACCTAGTCGCTTCTTTCACATGTTGCATTAGAGCACATGTGATAACCACATCAACTAGTTCCTGCTCGAAGGAATTTTCTGACGATTCAGTTCGCAGATTTTCCCAGTCTATCATAGGTGCATTAAAGTCCCCTAGGATTAGACATCGACAACTTTGTGACCAAATATTGAGACTGCCTAGCAGGACCTCATTTACCTCACAGCTTGGACTGCGATAGACCGAACCAATCAGCAGCTCTTGTCCTTTACATTTCAAGCGACAACTAACTAATTCACACGTCCCGCTCTCATGTGATACACTGTCGATAATGGCAAATCGGATAGCATTCCTAATGAAAACAGCTACTCCCCCTCCTTTACACTTTTGTATTCTGTCGGCCCTTACTGACGTAAAACCCTCGAAATCAAGTTCCATACTATCTATAGCCTGTGTCAGCCAGGTTTCTGTTACTGCGATTATGTCTGGCTTTGTAGAGTCAATCTGTACACCTAGTTCCAATCGCTTATTGAGTAAGCTTCGGATATTAGTGTAGCAAGGTGAATCCGGGGATATTTTGAGGCATGAATTGATTAAGTAGCTGTTTTATCAGCACAATGTCATGCTCTAAACGAGTTTTGGGTTCAGAGCTTTCACTCTACTTCATTCTATGAAAAATAACTGATCTGTCACTGTGATCAGCCTTCGATTTCTCGACTACTTTTATGGGGGCAGGATTCCCTTTTATATCGTTATGTTGTAATAGTTTGTCAACATATGTACTTACGTTATAGTAATCATTCGCCGTTCAAGATGTTTCTTTTGGTAACGTTGTTTTGTAAATAAAAACGACCAACATCCGTTCCTGATCATTACACAGAAACGAACTTATGTGGTTAATCCATGTTAACAAATAAACAAATGACATCATGAAGACCGAATTGTGACCAAGGTTTTTTAAAGGCAGTCAATAAGATTATATCGTAAATAAACACTTTTGATAAACGAAACCGACTCTTTTTTATTATAGTGGATTTCCAAACAAATAGCGTCCGGTAATTTGTTTCTGAAAAGGGTATTGTTCTGAAAGTAATAACAAGAGCACATTCATAAGTTTATCAAGGTGATGAGATCCATCTTACTTTCAATAGGCTAACTAGTCCTCCGCTAGTTCATTGGTAGATAAATATTGTTGCATATGTCTCGTTGGAGAGAACATTTGATACGTTTTACTACTTCTCAGTAGACTCTATCATTAAATATCTAACGAACTTAATCACTCCTTAATGTGGCTTTATGAGCTAATAGCGGTTTTAACTCAAGCAATACCATAAAAAGGATAGAAAGTTTGTTCAGAGGATTACTATATAGTTTGTATAGTTAACAAATCTTTCTGTATTAATGAGTAAAACTATTAACACATAAAATCATGGAAAAAACGATTTTGTTGGTGTCAAATTTTTAAAGCTTGTTTGGTTAACTGCGCAGCTTTCACTATAGTTCAAATAACACCATGAGGATCTACTTTAAACTTAGAGTATAAGTTTCACTTTAACTATTTTATATGTACTCTCATTTTCAAGATTATTTTGAATCTCTAACGTATAATTAACCTCACTATTATTATGCATCCTGGATTGTTTAATTTTTTATTATCTCTTTTCTTTCAGATCTGACTATCCATCTACTGCTTAAGTGGATTTTTCCGATACAATCAGTGTTACTTTTGCGTTTCTTTTTTTTTTGTTTCTAACAAATACACTTGCCTATGGTAATTAATTAAATGTTTGGGATTTGGTAAATATATTTATACAACTATTAATCCTATTCTCATGATTGCTCAAAACTATTTACAAAATGTTCTTACGCAAAAAGCTTTATTTTTACTGGTTATTTCGGTAAATCTTATACTCTGCCTTTTAAAAATCAATGATTATATTCATATAAATGCGTGGTTTATGTTTATGCCACTTTGGCTATGGAATATTCTAGTGTTTGCGGGTTCGCTCGTTTTATTCCTACTTAAATCTCTCAATTTAACCAAATTCTGTTTATTCTATTATGTTTATCAAGTTTTAATACTCACATTTCAAATATTTCTATGTATTAAACTAGAAAAAAATGTATTAAATTGGTGTGTAGTCTTTATACCAATGTATTGTTTATGCGTTTTAGGATTTTTGACATTCACAAAAGCGTTTTGCGAGTTAACTGTTTATGATTGTGAAAAATTCCTTGCATTAAATCTTCCATGTGTCATTCTAATTGCCTTACGTTTAGATAATTATATTAATTGGACATGGGTTGTAGTGTTAATACCATTCTGGATTATAATGGGATTTTTGATCGTATTATTGTTATTCTTAGTTTGTATGTTATGTGGATTGAGTCGTTTCACTCAGAAAGATCTTTATGATGTTGTTTCAATGATTGGATCCACATCAATTGCATTTACTTTTCTTATATTCGTTGTTCTTCTGGTCTGCCGATTAGATAACATTAAACTGTTCACATATAATGAAATATTCTTACCATTATTTATTTGTATTTTGTTTTTGTTGATTATGACGATTGCCACAAATTGGTTAGTCAGTAAATTTTGTGGAAATATCAATAGTTCCGATGGAGGAAATCGTTCGGTGGAATATACCTCTGGATCTCGGTAAGCTTTTATCATTGTAGTTAAGGAAACATTTTAATTTACAGATTTATTAGTACACTGTTAAACTGGTTTATATTTTGGCAATAGCTACAATTTTATCACAAGAAGGTTGTAAGGCATATATCATTACTAGTCAAAGGTTGCTGAATCTCAAAGGTCAAGCACATATCAGCTTGTTCAAACTTTAAGCTGTAGATTGTAGGTAAAAATCACCGGCACTATAGAGCTGAATTAGCTGAAGTGAAGTTTTAAAGAATGAACAAATACTAAATGTGGAGTGTATCAATCATCAGGTCGAGATCTAACAAACATTTTTTCCATTCAGGTGTTTAACTGAACCGTTAAATTAAAAATGTCTTTGGACGCTTCATTATTTCATGATTTTCTCTACCATTAATCTCATTTTGTAAGGTAAAACATAAAGCATAGCTAATCCTATTGTTTATATATTGGCTGTCAAAGATGGTTCTCATTACGATTTAAATAATATGCGGGTATTTAAAGTCATTATTCCCGAATGAGACGAGATATTAGTAAGCAGAGTAAACTGCATACCTATGATTTTATAAATCTTGAGGAATATGTATGAATAGTGCTGTACACAGAGGAATCAAGTGTTTGTCTACAAATTGTGATTACTTTCAACTTGGAAAATAAAGGCAAAGATCTGTAATTTAGTTTAAGTGTATTCAAAACTTTGTGACGCATTAATTGCCATTTACTTTTCATAATGGCAAACGTCATTGTGCTGTTTAAAGCTACTTTAATTGTTAGTAAAACAGTTTCTTGATTGAATTAGGACCATATTGTCTGTGATGACTAGTTACTTTCGTCGAACGATTATGGAGTTACAAATCTGGTCATTACGTTAAGCTGGCATCTGTAATTCATTTGATACTCAATTTATTAACAATAATGAGTATAAGGTGGGTGAAACTACGTAGGATTCAGGAATTGAATTTTATTGATGGAGCATCAGTCTCAATATGGAAATCCTGTCCACAGAGGATTGTCAACAAGTGTTGGACGGTTGCCCAGAACCTCGAAACATGCTTGTTAAACTAAAAAGTTTACTTAACCGAGTGAATGGCTAAAAACTATGTTATGATGAAGCAGGAAATAGGTATTTTATCCTACCATAACGTAAATGTTCTGTATGGTTTTCCATGTAAACAATTTAATACTATATTTAGCCTCCTACTGGTTGACTATACTCAGCTCTTTGTATTTTATAGGTTATCAGCAAATACTTTGTTGGACCCTATTCAAAGGGGAAATACAAATGTTGCGAATATAACCGTTTCACGTGACAAAAATTCAGAATTTCATCAGAATCTTACAAAGAACACTGCTTCTGAACCACTTGAAAACAGTACCGAAGCAGTTATCTCACCCAATACAGATGCTCCTTGCAGTAATTTACTAACCAAAGAAAAACATTTTATTCATTCAAATAAACTAAACCAACCTATGATTAAAGAGAACTCTTTATCACTTCCAGATTAAGGTACTTAAATCTATTGACGATCGCGTATTGATTTTACAAATAATATTCTTACATTTGTAATCTCAAATATTGCTTATTTCTTAACTGCAATTGTAGAGGACAATGTTATTTCACTTTAATTTGTAAAACACGTTTTAACTTTTTATTGTTTTTTTTTCGTAAAAGACATTTATTACAATGAATCTGCTTAATTTGTGTTCAGATTAATAGATTTTGAGCAATTTTTTAAATCGTTATTCATGTCTGTGAAATAAGTGATCAATTCTGCTTTTTATAATGTTCATTTGTAACTGATACAACATTGAAATAAATCCCGAGAAAATGTTTTAAAAATCAACAATAATTTTTGAAAATCTATGAGAATAATCAGTTTAATGAAAATTAATTCGGATAACCATCGGATTTTGGGACTGGATTTCACAATACTTTAATTTTTATTCAAAAAATTTTGTGTTAGTTTAATGTGTGTTTCCATGTGACAATTTAGAGGACAAATGAACGATAACATTATTCATACTTCAGGTTAAGAAATATTTATGTGAAACGTAAGCTAGAAAACAGAAACCTGTTTATAAGAGAACTTCCTACTTTAACAGAGATCTAGTCTGAGTAATATTAAACAAAAGCCAATAACTTCACAACTGGTATTGAGCTTTGGTTTGTATGCAAGGAAATGATTTTCATGTTAGGTAAGGAGGAAAATTTGATAAAAATTTCTAGGATCCCCGAAGTAGTTACAGGTGTAGCAAATTCATCATTGCAAACACAGACGAGCGGACTTTTAAACACCGATTGTATGATTGAGAAACAATAGTTCCACCATACTTGGAGATTTCAATGTTTATCAACTGTGTGTAGACCACAGCTTAGTTTCAAAGTAGTTTAGTGTTTTTAGAAGAAAATGAAAATCACAAAGTTGAAGGGCACAGTTTATTCCATCAAAACAATAATAGTAATTTGGTAACAGTATATTTAGAAAAAATATATGTTTATATAATTATGAATTAATAACTATTGAGCTTGCTGTCTACAACACGATAAATTGTGTTTAATGACAGTGTTTTTTTATTTGTACAACATATAGAAAAAGAATTACTGTCGACGAGGAAGTGAGCAAAAAGTGTTAGGATAAAGTAAGGATTCAGAGAAAAATAAATCTTGGACATAAGAAATAGGAGTAAATCATTGAAATCAATGTGTGCATTAGTGGGCACAGAATAAAATCTAAAATAAGGGAAGAATGAATGAAGAATATAAAGTAATTAATAGATAAAAAAATAGTTACATCTTCTGAATGAGCTGTATAAACAATTGAAACTCAAGAGATGAAAGGAATTCCTATATATTGAGAATTCTGAGAGTGGTACAGATGGTGAAGATATAAAACTCATTTGTTTACATGTATGTAATATGAAAACAGAATTGTGTTTTATTGTTCATATACACAGCCTTTTTTGTTCGATTCACGTAATATTTGGTTATTACAGTAAGGTTTTGATTAATATAGACGTAAAGTGGCTTGTAAATAATACATTAATGTTACAATGTAATAAAAAGGAATGTGAGTTTATTGTACACAGGTTATTAGGTCTTAAGTTTGATTGATACAAAACGATTGAGTATTATATTAATATTCAATTATGAACGAATTTTACAAATAAAAGTTTAAGAAAATATGTTTGCGGTCAAGACTGTTTACTGATTAATACAATGTTTGTTTTTTAGGATGTTTCTACCCCAATCCCTTCATGGTTATGGGACCCAATATGATTATTACAATGCTCTTTATTTTTATCTTGTACTTCTCCTACGTTTTCGTTCCTTTCCTCGTACTGCTCCTCCTCGTCATCATCTTCATCCATTACTTCACTAATGTTTTCTTCGTCATCGTCAGTTTGCTCTTCTTCATCAGCTTCTGGAATTGGCAATTTTACAAATTTATCTATATTTCGACTTAAATAAAACGAAACTGGGCGGCGTTGTACACGCGGACTGAAAGAAATCGGTAAATTATAATGATAAAAGAGCTGTTGTTCTTGTAGTTGGTGTAGACATTCATCTTTTTCTTCTTGCACTAGATCTTGTTGTTGTTCATGTCGCTGTTGCAATGGTGGGACTGAATTTTCTACTTGTAAACTAGTTGGTGGGTTAGGATAGACTGTTTTTTCATTAACTGATTCGTGTACTGACAAATGTTTAGAATTACCATCAGAATAATTTTTGTATGATGAAATTCTTTGCCTGCGATTATCACTGATTGTTACATGTTTACTATGACGAGAAGCTACGGAAACACCTGGAATTCTTTTAGGTGAATGGGCATTCGATGATACAGTTCCATTATTACGCTGTTTGATAGATCGAACAGTGTTAAATGGTCTTGTGTCCATATTCCTTTTGATATTAGTGCCGACATTGTTCAAAGGCATGTTCTTCCAATTTATGGTGTATGTACTGTCAATTTGATACAAGGCAAATATGTGTAAATTACTAAAATAAACATTATAACTTGTATATAATTACTGAGGCCTTATATAGGGTATTAGTGAAAAGCAAAAGTTAATCGTCTAGGCGAAAATTCACTTTTTTTGAAGAACTGGCGAAATTTAAGTGTGGATTTTGTTTGTCAGTATACTGAAATATCCGAGATACAATCCACTGTGGCACCGTGGACTGACAATCCTGAACATAACAAAAGTATTTCAAGCTGTTCTGTGTTAGTTTTTATAAACTATTTTTAGTGTGTTTATAAATTTCGAAAGAACTTATCAGCTACTTCGTTACGCCAGAAGTTTCACCATAATTAAAAGCTTTAAGATTTTCTACTTACTTTTTTGTTTGGTTTGAAGAAAATACTAAATTTTTAATGTGATCAAGTTTTTCTGAATTGTAACTTCCTGTGCTCAATAAGTCTAATGCTTCTACAAGACTGACCGAACGAGATTGTAAACGGCGTATTTCTTTGCATAAAGCACTAAATAACGAGTATGGTAGGTGAGGTTCTTGTGTGTCTGGTATTTGTTCACCTAGGTAGATGAAATGAGAAAATGAAATAGTAAGAATATATGCATATTCTAAGCGTAGGGTATGAAAAAATAAGTGAAGTTAATTAAGTCGTGCTTGAATAAAGTCCACATAAGAATTGAAGAATAATAATATGAATTCATTTTATTTCGTGGTTTCTCATCAGGTGCATACAGCTGACACTGATAATGTAAAGAATTAGAATTGCTCGATATTATATCATGTACCAGTGTCACACTTTAATGTGAATATGGCTGTATGCGGCTGATGATAAACCATGAAATAAAATGAAGTCACATTATCCCACCTCAATCGTTGTTTTGGATTTATTAAAATCAATAAAGGGAACCAACTGTATGAAAGTTTTGTTTTTTTATTTGACGCAGAACTAAGATTGCAAACTGTGAACCATTGGGTTTCCTCCCTTATGAAATCTAAATATACGCCAATAGTTATTTTCAGTCTAAAATAAAAACAAGTATTCAGTGCCATCTGATTTTCAAGAGTCCTTCAGATGACCATAATATACTAAGCTTCGTCAAAACTCCCACTGATGTTAGATAAATGACTAGCTTAGGAGAATGATTTTCTTAGTTTCTTAGTCTTTAAACTCGATGGTTTAATTTTGATACTTTATCTTTTAGAAAAACATAAGAAAGAAATTTTAGAAAACCAACTATTAGAATTTCTCTACATGTAAGTAGCCACTTGTTTTGTCGATATCGGATCTGTTAACTGTGTTATGATTGTTTGTTTTAGAAATATTTGTCAGTTATGTAGTCTGAGATAACAACTAAAACTTTCCGGTAGAACCATTTCACACAATCACAGCAACTCTATAAAAATCATTTGTATTGATATTGTTTGACAGTGAACGTTCAGAGGTTTTTTTAAATATATCTCAGTGATTCTTTGTGGTGATTCTATAATGTTTTGGTAATATGGTTAATCTTGTATTATAGCTAAAAATGTTTATTGAGAAGTTTTCTTAAGTTTTCTTATATATTATTCCACTAAGGTCACATCTAAGTAGCTGAGTAGAATTTGTAATAAATTTCTAAGTATTCACCTCAATCAAATGTGCATCGCTAAATAAACGAACCATTAAACTTCTGAAAATTGACTATCTAACATCATCTGATATTCTTATAAATAGACTATGTTATGGCTTTTATTTGAATAATTCGAAATATGTCTTAGAATAAATAATTAAGTGTGAAACTGCTCACCATTATTGTTTATGCTGTCAGTATACTGTATTCGAATTGCTTTATCCGTTATATGGACTTTTGGAGATTTGTTTGACAGAAATTTAAGATTTTCGCGTAATTTCCGAATTGTCTCAATTTTGACTTGCCTTTCATTAGCCCAGACTTCGGACAATAAATCCATCTAGATTATTAATAAAGGAATCACACGATAATGTAGGTTTATAATGAGAATTTTTTAAGTGTTAAAAATCATATCAAAAAGTGAAAATAGATAAGGTGGAAGCTATTATTGCGTAATCTCGAGGAAACTTAAACATTGGATGATGGTGGTCCTAATCTTGTGGGGTGTACCAATTTTATTCAGGTTGTAGATACGTCTTACTGACCTCTTGAGATATAAAACAAAAGAGGGAGAGGTGGAGTGGTTGATGAAATATATCCCTGCTTGGTAATTTTATTCTTGAAAATGTAAAATCACAAATGCACATCATGATTAAAATGGGAGTTGCTACGGCGCCTAGAAAAGTAATTAAATGAGAGAAGGAAACTAGGTAAAATGATTAGTTGCAGTAACAAAAGATTACAGAAGTTTTAAAATGAAATTTGTTAGGTTAGTGTGATGAGGATAGCAGATTTTATGAAAGAAGTAGAGATGGAAAGTGAAGTAAAACGTGGTTCTTCAAAAATTGGTATTATAATTATGGGAGATGAAGAAAAGGTTGAGTGAGTTTTTTTTACCTACTTAATTAATTAATGTTTATTCTTACATACTGTTTTTATCTTGTAATCCAATAATCGAATAGGTTTTCCTTGGGAAAATCAAAAAGTTGAGAAGACATGTATATATATTGCATAAATTAAAGAGATAATTGGGCCATACCATGTGACTAAAAGCGATGAATTACAGGATATTGATATCGTATAAAAAGTCATAACGACCAATATGTACTATTATTGAAACAACAGTTAGCATAGGACTTTAAATCAGGCAGGTTATTCGTCAGTGACCTTAAAGATTAATCTCAGTAATCGATAGGATAAGTATGTTAAGCAATTTCGGTTCACTTCTATGATATCCTTGACTTGTGGCCTAATATAACCTAGCTTTCCATATTTCGAAGACAAAAAGTGAAAGCTTTTATCCTTTCGTTAACTAGATATTAGTCTATTCCTTTGGGATGACTAAACACCACCAATTATTTGTAGTGTACAGCTTGGTGTCGGCAACCAAGTAATATGAAACCTAAATCCAAAACTTCCCGCTGATTATATCTGAACACCTAACAAATAATCTTTCAATCAAATAATAATTTCACCGTGGCCATTATAAATCATAATGAATGTGAAAAGATTTAAGTAAACAGTTACGTCGCATATATGCGTAATAAAATACAGCAGAGCATTTTTATATGTATAGAGGTTTAATAGTTTCAAGCCAGATATTTTCGCATTATCTAAGCTGAAACTGAACTTTTATTCGATCCTATTAAACAACATTGTTATATCAACGATTTTAGCATAAAATCGTGAAAGAAAAACGCTGAAAAACACAAGTCATCTTACTTTATTAATTGTCTCTGTTAGTTCCTTTTCTTTTGTTTTTATACTCATGCACTGATCGTTTTTGAGACTATGGGCTTTGATTTCCATTTGCTTTAATTGATGAATTCGAAGACTAATGATCGGGAATTAAAACAAGATATCAGTTAATTATAAGGTAAGTAAAAGAACTGGTCAGTACTTAGGACCAAATAACAAGACAATGGTCATTCCTAAATGATCATGTAGTGAATTATGTAATGAGAATAATAATTTCAATGTAATTCTATCCAATACAGAGTAAGTGGAATTGGAATATATCTCAAAATTTGATGGTACTATGAAGGTCACATTTGTGCTGTTTATTGTATCACGTAGTTAACTCATTATTGTTCAAACTACTCAAAAGACAAAAATAAGTACATGGCAAAATGTGAAAAAATGTCTTTTTATATCGGTAGACTTAGCAAGAGTTTAATACACATAAGGATTTCAAAAGAAGGGAATAATACATCTTCATAAGTTGATATTTTAATTGTTGATAAAGGTTTATTTTATGAGAGTTACCAACATTGTCTGGTTGCTCAATATCTGATAGTTGAATTGATACACAGTACGGAACATAGATCCTCGTGTGTAAAATCGCCCACACAAACAATTAATACTCAAATTTACGAAAGAAGTGAAAAAAAGTGGGGACTTCATTGAAATTATTCAATCGGTTTTGAGTATACCATACGAATCAATTACAAAGTTAAGCACGAAGTTGATTCTTGGTAAATTTGTCTTGATTTAATTATTTCATTTTGCTTTTACTTCATGATCTAATACAGGTGTATGATTGTCTATTTGTATTTCACTGACTATGAACTACTAATATCCTTTTATGATTACTTTTAGTCAGTTTTCGTCATCTTGATTTTAAAATTCTTAGAATTACGGAATATTTCGATTAACTGAACATATTTCTAAATAATTATTTCCAGAAGTTTGGAACGTCTTATGTAAGTGTAAATATTTAAATGTTGTTGAAAACGGAAGGTATAAATTGTAAAATTTAGTTTGAATATTATGTGATTTAAAAGTGCCCTGGTACGACCAAGGGTGGAGAGAGTCATCTCTCCCTCTCGAAATGCTCTCACATGGTCATGCGTATGCAGCCACTACCAGAGAAGTCTTATTCACTGCCTTCTCGCGGCATTACAGTTGTTTACGAAATTAAGAGCGAATGTCCGGCGCTTTGACCGGGTTGGTGGGCACGGAGGATTCACATAGAGGAGTTGGAAAACCCTAATTCCAAACCAATGGTGCCCATGGGATCCAGGGTCCTGAGGAAACAAATGACGTGTGGACCAATTGTTGGTCACCGGCTACCATGGGACTGTATTCTCTGACGATGCTCTAATGCCTTGGGGATCAGACCTTTAGGTTTAAGGCTCGGGTAGTGGCCTACCAAGAAAACCACCTGCTTCGGTCTGGGCACCCAGGCAGTATCACAGCTTACACACAAATCAAGTGAATTGTGTGGCGCATATGTATTTCTGTTAATGATAGCTACTTTTTTTAAAAATAGAATAAGTTACGTAGGAAATGGACTCTTTTGCATTCACCTTATGTTGAGTGGTTGATTCAATGAAACGTTAATCAGTGAGCAAACGCGTAATATGTCCTGACATTGCGTAAAAAACGTAATGCAAAGCTTGGTTCGTTAGTGTGTAATCCTTAGCTACTGTTTAACACTATGTGAAGAGTTGATCAGCCTAGAAACTGTTTTAAAGATAGCTAAGGATGATCAAATTAAACAATGTTATAAGTTTATGGAGTCCATCACTGTGTTAGCTCGAGTCATGTCCGGGATATTTAAACTTCTTAGTTAAGGTCCTGCCGATAATACGTCTGAATATAAACTCTAAGTGATATGATTAAAAGTCAATTTCAGTGTAACTGATGCACCAGTTCTTTATCATATACCTAAATGTAACACTTCTATCATCCCATACTTATTAATTTCTTATTTTATTTGCTACTTTCTACTTCCCTATTCACCACCATGTGAATATGCTCATTCTCTGTGTTGATATGAGTTGTATTAACTTAAGCTGATACATATTTATGTCAAGTTCTTCGTGATTTGAATGGAGCATGTAGTTGGTTTACAAACTGCATTATTCTGCATTATAAAATATAAGAAATTATTCTTGAACAAAAAAGAGTATTATAAAATAAATATGTTTACTGTTTTTTAAAAACCGTTACATTAAATTAAATGAATATAAAGTTTATTACTAAAATAATCGACATTTCTCTTAGTGTGCACAGATTCAATAATATTCAGATATTTCATGCAATTGGTTCCCTTTATGAATTTAAATAGAACAAGAACAAACATTGATACAGAATAGTATGAATTCATATTATTTCGAGGTTTCTCGTCAGCTGCTTACAAACCAAAATTGTCAAGTAGATGTCGAGCTATTGCACTGTTGAAAGCTTTAGTCCCTCGCAGCGTCAAGTTCTTCGGAATATGCCCAGAAATGCGAACCTGTACTCTTCTCTCAGTTCTTCCTACCCGGCAGCCAAACTGACTACGTTATGGAAAACATACTGTTCACTGAAACAAACGAAGATCGAAAAGTCCTCTCCCCTCAGTTGCTCCAACTGCATTTACCAATTCACATTTACGTGCCGTAGCACATACATTGGAAGAACTGAGAGAAGAGTACAGGTTCGCATTTCTGAGCATATTCCGAAGAACATGACGCTGCGAGGGTATGAAGCTTTCAACAGTGCAATAGCTCGGCATCTACTTGACACCGGGCATACCGTCGATATTCTGCACGCGTTTAAAATTATCAATAGATAACGAAGTTCTACCACTCTCCGCTTTGCTGAAGCCATTGCAATTAAGAAACTGAAACCGGATTTATGCATTCAAAAAGAGACTTTAATAAACTTATCACTACCTTGGTAATCTTTTTTGTTTCCGTTTGCTTTTTGTGTTTTGGTTATTTGGTTATTTTATTCATTTACTTATTTCAAGATATTTTATACTCCCACCTATTACCTAATTCTTAAACTAAAATTTTATTCTCACATTTCCACCACCTGATCCTCTTAAATTATCTTAACTTTTCAAATTCTATTTAATTATTATTACGTAATCTACCTTATCATTGTTCAATTCCATTAATCTCTCTAATTATCACACAATTTATGAACTTCACTAAACTATTATACCACCCAACCTGAATTAAACCGTTTTTTTACCTCTGACCTGTTTCTAGCATATATATATAGTTATTATTGTAATCGAGTTATTTACACTCATGCTAATTGTTTCACACTATCTCCATGCAAAAATTCTATCACAATTTTGGTTTGTAAGCAGCTGACGAGAAACCTCGAAATAATATGAATTCATACTATTCTGCATCAATATTTGTTCTTGCTCTATTTAATATTCAGATAATCGATAAGGGAAAAAAATTCGATTATTAAATATTATTTTGTAATATTAACATCATAGATTTGGAGTGATTGATGGATTATCTTGTAAGTTGGATGTTTGGAGAAGATTGAATGGTCATGTGTATATATATGAGTGTATTTCATTCAAATGACAGATGGAATAGAAATCTATTCAATGATCAATATGGAAATTAAATTCAATAAACAATTTATTTTCGTTTAATTCGTCTATCAAATCCATGAATTTGAAAATATTTAGAAAATTAACGACAATAAATTATTCTTATATCAGTTATGTTTTTTGTGTAAACATTTTTTATTATTTAATTAAAAAACTGTCGTCTAAATTTGATCAAATAGTTTCGCAGTATTTGGGCGCCGAGTTAATGTGAGAAATTAAAGAGGAAGAATGTATTTGTAAAATCTCAGCGAAAGAATTTGAAGTAAATCCAATATTTTGGCCTGGCAATCTGGTCCAAGCTTTTTTAAGGAATATTTCCTTGAGATTCTACAAAGGCACTTCTATTGATTTTTTCGTTATTATTACAGACTTAACAACTGTATGTTTGAAAAACGAATAGAGTATACGTTTATAGTTAGATGCCAAGTATAATTCTCTCGATTTTTCTTGAAATCTTTAGAAATAATCTATACTGTGTTTTGGAGGACCTTAAGATTGTCATTCGGGTTAGTAGTTGTGAACAGACATTGAGAATTACTTAATATCAAATATTTATTGATGTTCGATTCCCCAGATAATTGTAGGAGTGCTCACTACTAGTCATAAAACTAGGATCAAAGTGGTGTCCAGTGTTTTGTCTTGCTGTTTATCTAGAATTAGTCAATGATGTTTACAATCTCGAAAGATAATAAATTAATATTTTCAAACTATCTAATAACTTTAATGATGTAATGTTACTTCTTTTTATTAATATCGTTCAAGCAAATGCGTATAGTGACAGGAAATATTACGGTATTAGATATTTGATGTTGTTTTTTAATTTATCATGGGGAATTTATTTAAACATTTGACTAAATATTCATACATGAATAAATCAGTCCATTATCGTATTTTACTCAAACAAAGTTTAAACGTTACTTTTGTATCTTTGTATGAAAAGACAATTTAACATGTTTAAAAGCTTCTTATAGGCTTATATAATCATTAGAAATAACTTAGAAAATATCGATAAATGATTTGGTCTTTTTGAAGTGATCATACGTGTCCATTATCGACTTGTATTTAACTGAAAACTTTTGGCGTATACGCATATAAATCACTTGCATTGCTTTTAGATAGTAGTGCCCAATGTCTACCTGAACAAACAATACTTCGATTAATATAAGCCATTCTTTTTTCTGTGTTGTAAAAAGAAAGTAAACGCTCGACAACTGGAGTGAATATAACTCATTATAACTATGATCGATAAAAAAAGTAGAAATGTGTTTGCTTTCCAATCTGAGCAACAGAAATCTGGCTAACAAACGACTAATATGATAAATAGCCACCTATATAAAATCGGGTTTTATATTCACCGACAGACGGCAATAACTGTCAAGTCTTACGGAGTTTCCAAGGTGGCAGCTTCCGGCCAAAAAATGCCAAAAATGCTGGACTATATGATTGTGTCATTTAAAAATAATCGTAATAGAGTTCTCTAGCAAAGGAACTGCATTACCATTCTACTAAACTTTTCCTGATTGGAGTCAACTGATTGTGTTCCGTATTTTGAATCTGACAATTGTTGCAAACGTATTACGTTATTTTTTCAAGGTTGGAAATAATTCTTTTAAAGCAGTTAAAATATCAAAAATATTTACAAAATCCTGATTTAAAAAGTAAAACTAAATCAGCCTAGATTTTGGAGTATTTTAAATTTACATGATTTATTAACAAGACTGACAATGAAGAAGATGTAGAAACAAAATGGAATAGTCAATAGGAATTCATTATTGATTAATTAGTGAATAGTTTATAAATTGAAAAATTTATTTAATTTAATCAACAAAAATATCAATAGTTGAGATCATGAGTCAATTGAAGCTAAACCACTATGGAAAACCTGGAAGTACTGGATGGCAGTTTCGTCCCATTGTGAGGTTCCTCACCAGTGCGCATTCACGATCCCACCTAACGCGATTCGAACCCAGGACATATCGGTTTCGCGCCAGGCGCTTAACCTACAGATCACTGAGCCGGCATCCAGCGGTCTTAATGTATAACTTCAACTAATCCACGAAATTGAGTGACATCCACCATTGTCTTCAGTGAGTTACTACCTCACAACAGATCCGGTTGAACTCCACTGGTTACTGGTTCTCACTAGGACTCCATCATATACCTCTTGAAGCTAGTCACTAGTGAGCATATCTTGATTATTATCAGAAGGGGTTTTTATGGATATTATAATAATTTCATTGGTAGAGATCATGAGTCAATTGAAGCTAGACCACCATGGAGAACCTGGAAGTACTAGACAGCCGTTTTGCTCCATTGTGGGAATCCTTAGCAGCTTCAACTGACCCATGATCTCAATTATTGAAATCACTATAATATCTACAAAAACCCCTTCTGATACTAAAAAAAATATCATTTAAAAATTTAATTTCAATTGAACTATCAAATATAAACTTTATACAATTTTATTTACTGATAAATGTTAATAAAGCAAAAAGAAACTCGCTACAGTTATAATAAGACGAAATCATTTACTTTACTTAGTCATACTAGCTATTACATCAGTTTTGAAGCTAATTTGTACAATTATTCTGTTATTCTATCAAATTTTATGATTGTTATTACGTAATTTTGGCGTCGATATTCATTCATTAGAAATGCATCTTCATATATTTCAAAACTTCCCCCCTAGAACTTTCACATATATTAATATATAAATAATCATCAACAGTATCATTTAATAATACTCCATAAATTCTTAACAGTGAGCATACACGATATTGCACATGAGACTCGAATCTAGGACCTTCAGTCTCGTGCGTGAATGTCTAAACTCTAGAATACTGAGCCGGAATCTTGCGGTTTTAATGTCTGAGGTGGATAACTGTCTCACTCCCAACATGGATTGGACTCTACTGGTCATGGTTTCTCACTGGAACTCTAGGAAATTCAACTTGAAGCTAGTCACTAGTGAGCACATGATTATTATCATAGTAGGGATTTGTGGAAATTGTAGCATTTTAACGGTTGAAATCACGAGTCGATCTGAGGTAGGCCCCATTGAGGTTAAATATTTTTGCGCGAGACTAAAGGTTTCTGGGTTTGAGTCCTGGTTGCGGGATCGTGGATGAGTACTGCTGAGAAGTCCCATACTAGGGAAAAACGAATGTTCAGAGCCTCCAGGTTTCAATGATGATCTAGATTAGATGGACTTGTGAATTTAGCCGTTAAATTACTATAATTTCTATTATTCCTCATGCTTATGTAACTGTTGAATTCATTGTACTAATCTTATATTAATATAGCATAGTGTACATTGGTTATAAATAACTGTCACCATTATTTCTAGGTTGCAAGCAGCTAAAGAGTATCCACAAAATAAATTTCATCATCTTGTTTTACTATGGTTGTTGTACTTGCTTTATTTAAATTAAGTATTAGCCAAAGTTGTTAGTTTCAATTCGATAAAATTGTGTATTTACTTTTAGTCATAAAAAATAAAACTATGTGTAAATCATTTCCAAATAGATTAAGTAATATCAGACATTTAAATTTTAAAGACTACAAATAATTCTACATGTTAGTGATAATAGCAGTGAAGAATGAAGACTAATAACTAAGTTGAGGCTTCATTGGTTTCGTGAATGAATGACGGAGGTACCTATCCTACTGTTAAATTAGTGTTTTCAATGACATTCTTATTAAAAAAATTTTTTAGATCAACTAATTTGTAGATGTGAGTTTTATTATACTAAATGATAAATATGGTTTTAATCGGAAGTCACATCTTGTGACGATTCATCATATGAAGGAATTGTTTCACATCACTCACTTAGTTCTTGTGGTTCTACTTTCATTCGCTATATGATAGTCAGTGATATAATAAGTCGTTAACTTATAACATCATTCAGTTGAAAAGTTCCATTCTAAAAGATGGTTGTAAGAAAACAATTTAAGCAGTAAGTAATGGATAAAGAAGACAACGAACTTACTTCATTCGCATGAGCGCCATATGTACACCGTCCTCCTTATTGAGTTTATTCTGTTCAAAGAACAAAATAGTATGTTTTTTTTTTCAAAATTTGGTTTGGTTTAGTGAAATAAATAAAAATTGAGGCAAATGAATAAGCATGACTGAATCTAAATCATATATATATATATACTGCGGTGAGGAGATCATAAATCATGGTATGTATTATTTTAGTTATTAATGCAAACAATCATAATCAGATACATGATATTCAATCAATATTTAAGTAATATATAATAAAATTGGAGAGTTCAGATGTAAAGTACTTGATCACTTACTCACTTACGCTTGTTACCCCTCGTCGAGGAGCATATGCCGCCCACCAGCATTCTCCATCCAACTCTGTCATGGGCAATCATTTCTAGTTGTTGTTCATCCTTTTCGTGATTGCTTCCAGTTCTCAATGCAGTGTGTTCGTTGGACTTCCTCTTTTTCGCTTCCCTTCAGAATTCCAAGTTGGAGCTTACCTTGTGATTCAGTTTGGTGGTTTCCATAATGTATGTTCTATTCACCCCCGGCATATTTTCCTAATTGCTTCTTCATCTGGAAGCAGGTTTGTTCTCTCCCACAGTAGGCTGTTGCCAATGGTATCCACCCAATGGATGTTGAGTATCTTGCATAGACGATTGTTTATAAATAATTGTACCTTTTTGATGATGGTTGTAGTAGTTTTCCACGTTTCAGCTCCTTACAGTAGATCTGTCTTGATATTCGTATTGAAGATTCATACTTTGATGTTGGCTTGCATATAATTGCTTTGAGTCCCTTGTGTTCTTCAATTGTAGGACTTCAGTCCTAGATTTTTCGACCCTCCCCTTTTTATCTTCATTAGATCCTCCACGTTCATCCATGCTGCTACTCAGATACGTAAAACTTTCCACATCTTCCAGAGTTTCTCCATCATGTGAAATTGAGCTGGTGTTTTCTGTGTTGTATTTTAGGATCTTGCTTTTTTCCTTGTGTATGTTGAGGTTCACTGATACAAAGGCTGCTACTACACTAGTAGTATTCATCTCCATTCGTTGGTATGTATGGGATAGAACGACCGGATCATCAGCGAAGTCTAAATCGTCTAGTTGAATCCAAGTTGTATTCCGTGCATCCCCTCAAAACTCAAGGTCTTCACAATTTGGTCAACCACCAGAAGAAAGTGGAGGAAGTAGTGTAAGTAGCCTTGTCTGACTACTTTGTACTTACAGTTAAATGTTAACTATACGTGTAAAGAAAACATTGAGACCTAAAAATGGTATACAATTAGTAAATATTATGTTAAAAAGTATGATTTTTGAACATACTAACACTGAAATCACTATCGTTGATTAAAAGTCATTAACTAGTACTAGTTTGCTTTTAAAATATAACTGTTATAGACTTCATGGTAAAAATAAAAATCTTAAAGATTTAAATTTATAGTAATTAATTACTGACAATTATTCCTTGATATTGCGTAGGGTTGAGTTCCAACTAAATAACAGCTCTTAAGTACTTATTCATAGATATGGTGAACCTTTTAAAAAGGGAGAATTTGTGTACTGTATATATTACCACATTACCGGATCATATTTGAAGTTGGAAATAACTTAGGACAATAAAAACTATATAAATATATAATTCATGCCAAAAGTTGACCATATGATATTAGTTCACGGTAATAATAGTAATTAGTTAATCTTACTACTGTTTAGGTAATTTTTAATTACTTAATATTATTTTAATGGGTGAAAACAATGACAGTCGACTTATCAACTTTCATATTATTTGATGACAGAGTTTTCATTTCTTTAAAGTACAAGTTATGCAAATCAAACATTGTACTGCTTAATAATATATTGTTAGCATATAGACTTCGTGCAATCATTATAAATCGGTGAATATTATTAGTAAGCACGTTTAAATCTTTTATATGTGTTCACATTCTAAATATTTAATAGTTAGTTTTATTTCTCTTAGTTGTTTTCTAAGTAGAATATTAGTATGTTATAATAGTTGGTTATATTTTAACTTATTTAATGAACACAATGCTGGTGACCGATTTCCATGTAAATAAACATACAAATTATCTTTTGACACCTAAACTAATACGTTAACATACGATTGTATCACTTTAAAAAGATTTTTTTTCTCACTGTTCTGATTGTATTCTAATCTACACAAGATTTTCAATCGTATATTTAATACATAAGAACTGTCGTCTAAATTTGATCAAATAGTTTCACAGTATTTGGGTGCCGAGTTAATGTGAGAAATTAAAGATGAAGAATGCATTTGTAAAATCTCAGCGAAAGAATTTGAAGTAAATCCAACGTTTCGCCTGGCAATCTAACCCAAGGTTTTCCAAGGAAATATTTATCTTTATTTAATGCATTCTGTGACATTTTTGATTCATATCATATATAAAATTATATGTTCTCTTAATATTCACCGACCGAAGACAGTCTACACTTTTCTTTTCACACCACATTGTCTCTTACACACTAATGTAAATGCCTACTTTAAACATTGTTAACGTTGATTGGATGACCTATTCAGCATACAGTATACCGGAGAACCATGTACCTATTTATATTCGATAATTTTGATGTTCGATTATATTTCCTTGAAAAAGCTTGGATCAGATTGTCAGGCGAAACGTTGGATTTACTTCAAATTCTTTCGCTGAAATTTTACAAATACGTTCTTCATCTTAACGTATATTTAATACTTTTGTGTTTATTGTAGTGAATATAAAGTAATTGTTTAGACAAATTCAGTCGAAATTAACACTGGGGAAATTAGATTAAATTATTTATAACTAACCTGATACAGTATGCCATGCTAACAAATTTAGTAGGAATATAATCTATAGCTTAGTCAACAGTTAAATTTGTACATAAAATGAGTGTAATCCAGCAACAAAATCTGGTTTATCAAGTAGTATCACATTGTTTTTAACAAGAATATAGTTATTATTCAAAATTTAGTCAGTTTAAGTCGAAATTGCCAGTAATATAAATTTGGGAAAATAAACCATTCTCACTTCTATAGAAGGTACATCTTAAAGACTTTATAAATTGATTATCAGAAGTCATATATTAGATCATATGACTTTGTAAGTACTTGAGTATTTCAACAAACTGTAGATTTGCCTTTCGAAGTGATTATCAGATACAGACAGAGACAAACTTTAAAACACTTGAATTAGGCGTTTTGTAGGAAGTTAGTCATATATCACAATGAGTAGAATATATTTCTTATATAAAACACTTGAATTAAATTCACCAAATTTCGTAGAATATTGTGTATTGATCAACACTTTATGTAAGGTTTTACTGATTAGCTATTGAAAAGATTCATCACATCGTGAGATGATGTATATACAAGAATAGTAAACCGAAGAATACTTATTTCAACGTAGCAAACTGGCTGAAAAGATAAACAAAAGATGAAGAATCACACACTACTTATCAATGCCTCTTTGTTATAGGCAGTGAACGTTAACTAAATATGTCGGAAACAATGGAAGATCTTGTAACCTTTATGCTAGAATGAAAACTTCACAATAGAAGTATGTACTTGAGGACATATTGTTGGATGTGATAATCCTGATGACTATCAGAAATTTAAGTGACTACTTAAATGATCAAAAGTAGTTTCATGAATGTTATAAAAATCTAACCAAACGTGCCTATATAATAAGGCTTGTTTTATCGATTTTCGAATGCAATAAGATGAATAACAAATAAACAAGCATTGTCCTTTTCGAATTCGCCAAACCCATATCTATCAGTTACCTACGATTTATCTGTTAACGACGAAGCAGTTATCAAACTGGGATTTCAGGTGGTGGAAGATAGTCGGCAGTGAACTCTTGGTCTAGGTTTTGTGTTGTTTAACAATCCTCAGCAAGGGATACCATCTATCCTGATGGAATTGGTATTTTCTGTGAAAAACAATAATAGTAATGTGTCAGGATGTGAAGTTTCATGCCTGTGATAGGAATCTTACTTCCTAAAGTGAAAATGATGTGTGTGATTAGACTATACCGCATGATAATTCATTTCAAAATTGATAGCTATTCACCGTATGTATTTATTAATATGAAAGTATATGTATCGAGCGGCAAAAAGCTTTTAATATTTGTCTGGAAATAAAGGTTTAGAGGGACTATATACAGCAACGAAAGTTGTATCATACATAATTTACTTGACAAGTTCAGGGTAACAAAAGCGTTAAAAAAGTTTCAACTAACCGTTAAAAGTATGACGGAAATTATTTTAGTTTATACAGGTTTTTATGGTGAGAAGACAAAAAGATATTATTTTTTTACAACCACCAAGTTCTATAATTCACTGATAAGTACAATTTACACTACAATCCACTAGACAATTTTTAGTTTCTTGTTTACTTAAGTTAAAAGTGCCGCATTATTTGAGTTGGTCATTTTCACTGGAAAGATTGATTGAATCAAAAGTCATATTAAACAGAAGTGAATTTTCGAAAAAAAAACTGTTTTACATATGTCACTATTATTGGACATTGATACTGACGATATTATTCTGAAAGAAAAGGAAATTGTCACTATGCAGTTCAGCAAACACCATGCTACATAAGCACTCGTTTAGTCTATAAAACATACAATTCATGGCAATATATTGACTGTTTATACAGATTTTCCCTCATTAGTTTGTATTCAACTGAAAATAAATACCAATAAAAATCCAATTTTTTCAAAATGCAGATAATACTTAAATGTTGTCAGTACAATATGATGATATGCAATAATGTTTTTTATACTGTCTAATATATGAATGTAAGTGTATTAGTAGAACTTAAAGCTTTTCAAGTATTCAGTCAGAATTATTTCAGTCTAACTGAATTTTTAGTGATTTAATTGACAGTTTCATTCAATATTTATTATTTAGTAAAAGATAATGGTAAAAAGAGGAGAGACTATATAATCATATACCCTTAACTGACGAAATCAGCGAATATGAAACATCATTATGTACCACGAATTCTGGAAAAATTAGTTACACACGACGATTTATCTTATTATAGAATCTGTTGGATTCTTTTAATATAATACTTTGAAATCTGAGACAATAATGTCTGCAGTTGACAATCAGTTAACTTTCATTGAAATGATAAACCAATCAATGTTAGACCACTATTTAAAATCTGGAAGCACGGAACGGCCGTTTCATCCTAGTATGTGACTGCTCAGTAGGTTTGCAATGATTGCCTAATATTGTTTGGTTCAGGATTTCAATGAAATTCAACAATTTTCACAACCTCAAACTGAAGATAATCATTTGTTTAAAAATTATTCATACAAAAATGTCAAATTGAGCTGTAAGATAAATTCATTTACATAGTTGTCTGTCAGAATATACAATGTATTGTTCTAAACAAGAAAATCAAAGCATAGTAAAAGTCTGTTATTACTTTTCTATATTTATGACTAGTGAAAAATACACACCATGTGTACTTGCAGACAATTAACAACATTGATTCACATAGGTTACATGACAAAATACAATTTTTTTATTATCTACAACTCATCTGATAATCAGAGCAAAATTATTTATCGTTTAGAAGCTACATAAATTTACAATTCATCTCCTCTCAACGTTTCTTGTATAGTAAACAGTTTACAAAGATAACATTAGGTCAAACAATCGTCTAATATAGTACAATCGTATTGATGAAAACAACGCCGCTACTTGGTTATCCTTTTCTTAACGAATCATATTCATCACCAAATTGGTTCTATTTATCTGTATCTCAACCCTGTTACTGAAACGCGTATAAATCTAATAACATTGATCAATGTTCAATACTTAGCTAAATATTATTTAAATTAAAATAAACCACAATAGATAACTTCTAACAAAAGTACAAATAAATAATTTCGATTACTTTTATTTTCTTAAGTTTAATATGAAGAATAGTAATATAAAATGAAACAATTCATAAGAACTATATTCATAATACAATACTTACTTTAGCATCTTCTAATTCTTTATGAACTCTAGCAATTTGTTCTTCTAAATGTTGAATTGTTTGATGTAAATTATCATTGGTAGTTTTAGATGATTCTCTATGAATACCAAAGAAAGAAATAGACAATTATAATATAATACAACTCAATGACCATATATATATATATATATATATATATATATATATATATATATATATATATAGTTCATGTATTCAGATTTGAGTTATATTTTTTAAGATTATAGGCTAATGATACAGACTGATTTCTTTAATCAAAATGGATGGAATAATATTTAAATATGTAACATAGTGAATGGAAAATGAATATCTTAACTACTTAATTGCTACCATGCCTAGATGATATCTCGTTGAGTACGTTGCTGGTGATGTCTTTATTTAATAATAAAAAAACTGGTGTTACGAATTAGTTATATTCATTTCTTACTTTAAAAATACTAAATAGTTTTATTGAGTGTAATTCAAATGAACATTTAAGGATATTTGTTAATTGATGTTATAAGTCGGTTATTTAGGTGAAATAAAACAACAAGGAGGATATCAGTATCATAACTTGTGAATTGGTTTAAGTTAAATATTTGATAAAACTGAGTATTGATAGCTTAGATCAAACCTCTGGATCTACATTCCATATACACTAAATTAATCGTTGCTCTGGTTATCAAATCTACAAATAAAGATATAGAATTAGATTAACAACTTTATATGAGAAAAATAACTCGGTTTCATATCGACCATCAATTCTGGAAAAACATTTCAGAGACATTTATTTGACCAATTGTAAAGAATCTGTTAGTTTGTATCAAAGTAATATTTGCATTGAGGTACCCGTTTTTATAAATTGGATTGGATTGTTTAAACAGTAAGATTCCTAATAGTTGCTGTTTGACAAATTACATTGATATGTTAGATTCTACCTTAATTTCGCTATTAACCGTTGAGCTCAGGCAATGTCAAGATTGAAACTATTTTATATGCAGTATTAACAAATAAATATTGATCATCTTATCTCTTAGTGAGTCTTCAAAAGAATTATAAAACGATACATGATTATACATAAACAAGTAAAAGAATTCCAAATATGTAGGACTATATATTGCGTTAAGTATTAAGTTGCTCAAGAGTTCCGAAAATTTCACATTTAATTCCAAACGAAGTTTCCGGTACGTACTATACTAAAATTAAGTGCCAGCCAGTGATTTCCAGTTTTTGTTGTTTCTTCAGTTGACAGTGGTTCTCGAAGTAAATTATCTTCATACTACGGAATCTTCAAGAATCTACCTAATTAAATATAATTTAGATTGCTTCTACTTTGTTGTCTATTAATTGCATAATACTTGTGATTGTGAATGGAATAAAAATGTGGTAATTCTAGAGGACACGATAACCTTATATAGACCGGAGGGGAGGTTGAAATAAAAGCTTAACAGTGTAATGTATATTAAATGTAAGTATTAATGTTTTTGAATAATTCAGCTCTATATTACGAGGCGGCCTGCTTGGACATTTGGGCTACATGTTCATGGCACCTAGATATTTCAACAAGTAATCTGTTTGTTTTAACAGATCATTATAATAATTAATTGCATAACCCATTCAGGTGCACTTGTTAAAAGTTCATGAACTTTCTCTGTACAAGTTACAGTAATGTACAGTCGGAGACATTGTGATGGCTGGCAGTATGCATTGAAAAGAACGAACATTATTCAGATGTCGACTTCTAAAATGCTAATATCTAACTGGTGATCACTCAATATTTACCGTCAATATCGATCACGAAATAAAAAACAGAAACTCGCTGAAATACTCTGTGCTAAGAATTCTATATTGTGTCAAAGAGATAAAATTGAATAAAGCTAACAATAATAAATAATAAATATATTAGTTAACTCAGTCAAATAACTTACAACTTCTTTAGGTGGTTATGTAGTTGTATTTCTGGTCGACCATTCAGATGTGTTATCTCTGCATTAACGACACTTAGTTCCATCGAAAGTTTGTAATTTTTGTTTTTAGCTTCTTTCAATAGCATTTTATGTTCCTCACAAATTGATTTATGAAAGTCCAATGATTTCTGTGCGTCACACTCTGGATCAAATAAATGCAAATTGTTAATGTTGTAATGACAGCTGGATAGAGCAACTGATTTGGTCGGTAGGGAAAATGAATGCTGGAAATTGGTAAATTGAAAACAAAATGTTTACGAAAACGTCTATTGAGAATTTACTTCACACATACAGAACGGGTTCGTCCGTATAAAAAAGCATGTCATTGAATGTTCGAAATTAGATAGTTTACAGAAATCTTGGTTCCGTGCTATCATGCAATTTTGATGAGATCGATGCTTCAACCACTTAATATCAAAGAAGTGGCATTACAATGTTAGATCACTTATGCTAAACACTACATTGTTATTCGAGAAATTTAACTCGATTAATATTAAAGACTAGACAAGATTAGTTTAGCTGTTGTTAGGTAGTCAGTCAGTGTGCATCCAGGATTCTTAAAACAGTAGATTACTGGATAATACTATTTGGTGCCAAGCCACAGTTTTTTATTTACAGTCTCCGATAAGATATAAACATTCATTCACATTCAGAAATATTACTTTGAGACATTGTCTAAAAGTGTTTCTCAGATTTATTTTTGGGCTTCATCAGTAAAGTAGCACAAACCGAAAAAAATCGGAGAATGCTATTGAAATAGCTAAACTCAACGCGGTAATAAATTTCACTTTAATTGGTGGCAGAATGTAAATCTTAAATAATTATACAACGAGTGAAATAAAAACGGTTTTTTATCACCGGATGAGTGGATAAACTGATTAAGGTCTCAAGAGTAGCCAGTTCAACATCTCTAGAAATTTCAAATTACTATGCTCGAATAAGATCTAAAAAGTTGAGATAATAAGAACATGAAAAAGTCTGTAAGCATAATTCTAAAGTCTGTAACAGCTTTTTGCATTAGACTATGTTTCAAATGTATTGTATTGAAGCTAACAATACTGATGTCTTGGCTGTACGAAGACTGAAATCTCCTATATTCATACTCTTTATCAACCGTGGTAATGAAGAATTGTTATCTAGAATAGTTTTCAATTCGTTTGTCACATTTCGTTTCCTATTATCTTCTAATTTGTCTAGTTGACGTTTTATTTTTAAAGACATGGTGTTTTAAAAACTAAACATGCGGTTAGATTGTTAGAAATGTATTAGTCAAAAAATATTTCATAGTTCTGATAACGTTCGTCTTCTCATTGCATTAAACAAATTTATCAAGGGGATTAAGTGTTGTAAATTTCTATTTATCTGAACTTAAGTCAATAGTAGTGAGTTCAAATCTGTAATTTAATAATTGAAAGCTTGGAAAAATGTGTCATAAAATAGATTAAAATGGTATCAGTTTGATTAATATCTATAGAAAAGTAATAAAACATAAATGTTGAATGGCTGAAATAACACTGTTTAGGAGAGTATCAAACGCTCGTACTATATCGTGAATTGGTCGAAGGTGAATATCGACTCAGTAGTTTAGAGGTTAGGCGTTCGAGCACAAGACCGGTGGTCCCGAGTTCGATTCCCGGCTACGAGTTCTTGAGTGTACACTGATAAAGAGTCTCATACTAGGACGAAACGGGTGTCCAGTGTTCCCAGGTTTCCAGTTGTTTTTTAACTTGAATCGGTTAATAATTTCAATGGACTACTTTAAAATTATATGGTAAGGAACATTCAATACTGAAAATGATAAATCCGTTGAAATTTACCGAGTCTTCGTTAAGATCACACTCGCGTATTTCACACATCTGTTAGAAAAAAAAACAAAATAAGTTGTGTACCATATTAACGATATAAACTGTTTATTATGTAGTGGTATGTTTTACATTTAAACGTGGCTAACTTATAGTTGTAAAGTAGTAAGCAAAAATATTATATTCGTATAATGGTACGATGTTTTTTTGTTGAACTGCATCATAACGTTGCATTAGTCGATATCACACAGTTTATTTATATAAGCTCAGTAACATGTGACGAATCCACTCTTCTTAAACATGCCAATCTGATGATACTATAAGTAGTTAGCTCAAATCCTATTTTCTAACGAATGATTGTTGGAAGATTTCGTATATTTTTGAGGTAAGTTTCACCACGAACAAGTGATATCTGAAGAAACATTGAAAACTAGATTTTGAAGTTTCGTTTTATGTGAGGTAGTGAGAGTGCACTACTGATATGCGACAAACTGGAGCGTGAATAATATTTTTAACGCTAATGATACTTCAGAATTAGGTGATTAAGTTCGTTAGAAACCTTAACACCGTCCTAAGATTGTTTTCCGTTATAACACCAGTAATCATAACAACCTGATTGACATATCCGAACAACTTTTAACTTTGTTATGTAATTATTGAAGAATTGTTGTGATTCTGATAAAATTTTCGGAAGAATAATTACCATAGCATATCAAATGTTGACCATGATTGTAATTAATGTTAATCAAATGATTTACACTGATGATCATAGGTTCGGATAGTCAAGTTCGTAGTTATTAGATTATTAGTTCCATGCATCAAGGTGTATGTAGAGGTCTCAACAAAGTCATGGTTTTTTGAGTCTATAAACTTGCATTGTTCAATGTCATAAAGCAGCTGAAGCTGAGATGTTTATACCACAAACTACGTATTTAATTTAATAGACATAATGAAAGTCAAAATTGTCTGAACATATGTTCACGGTTTTCAGGAGATTTAATACAAACACTTTGAAACTAAGGACTCTGGAGAGTTTATTTAAAACTGTATAGTAGCTACATTGAACTTGTTGATTGGTAGACGATGATTAGACCTTGTGAATCGGATCTAGCCTTGATTACTATCTGGATAACGATAACGAATACTAATGCATTCACCAGTTGCGACAAACAATGTTTTAATATCTGTCTTCCGACTACGTATTTGTACACTTATACTATATGTTCTGAGATGAATGAATGAAGTTTAACAGGATGATAGGTGCAATATGGTCCGCTTGGGATGTTATTGTTTTGCACTTTATCAACTGATGTAATTAGTAGTTTCTTTTAATTTTTAATCATGAATCAATTAGGCTTTCAATTTTTATTACTCTTTTGCTTACTCATAAGTAGTAAAACATTCAGTTGAATTCAGTGAACCAGGAATTTAAACGAATATCGTGTTACATAATGACCAATTTAGAAAATTGATCCGTGTAAGAATCACAGCTCTTATTGAAATTGACATACACTAAACTAAATAGAGACGTGTAAGCCTTTAAAGTGACTTGGCGAAAAAAAACATTTTCCTCGACAGTATTCACGTTTTCCCCACTATGGGATATTCAAGATGGAATGTCGAACATTCTCTGTTGGGATATATTCATTTTGAGCAGATGACTTGATATTACCATCAGATTGAAAATATCCTAAGTAGAGCTGGTGATTAGAACTGAAACCCTGTATTTTTCGACTAGATAATATGCAAATAAATTGAAAATTGGGAAACTTACTTTCTCCGTCAATATGATGTGAAATAAAGCTTCGTGATGTCTTAAGAAACTTTCTATTAGTGGAAAATGTATTTGTACTCATAGGTAATAGCTGTGAAATCAGTTTGATCGATACTTCGAATGATACTATATATCTGGGTTAATTATTTGCCAACTATTCAAATATTGCAATAATCTTTCCTATATTGATTTATTTTAATTATTTTAATTATACATTCGTAAATTCTCATAAAAGGTATATGTTATCATAAATCCTAATGCTTTAAAACTAAAACTACGAATGATAGTATTTTCTATAGATCCCCATCTTTTAGTGAAACGCAATGTAAGTATTTTATAAATCATATCTGTAAAGTTTCAATCGAATTCTTCAAAATAACGTATCTGGAATATATATTGGCAAGAAAGGAATGAACTCATACCTTTATACGTGATGAGGAGTATTAGATAACTATGGTGACGAAACTGATTTTAATATGAATTTCCTAATTCTTTAGGATCTTAGTGTATATTACAAAGGAATTTTTTGCAATATATGGTACTAAATTAAAAGATTATTATCAACATTATTGTTATGTAATCATGTAGATTTTTATAATTCTGAAGACTTCATTATCTGGTTGAATTTTAGTCAATTGGTACAATATATAAATTGACATGTCATAGCACTGAATTTAACGCAACTGTTCCAAATAGTACTTATAAGATACATAGTACAGTAATTACTTACTTGACTTAGTCTAACCAGATTTTTGTAAAATAATATATTACTATCTGTTTAGTACTCAGATAAATAATTTATCATTGTTGACCATCTGTGGTAAGTTGACTTAAGGACAAAACTGTGACACTTTTCAATGAATAAGAGAAGGAAATATATAAATAGGTGTTGTTTATTGAGTTAATGTACTGAATTAAAAAAGGTCACTACTGAAAATATCTAATAAATAAATTAATAGTTGGTCTTTCCTATTAAAGTTGGGAATTAAAATAAAGCTTGATTTCTTTTTTTTATTTAAAAAAAGTAAACATTTGAAAATGACACTTGTTTTAATTACTGAGGTCATAACGATGCCTTAGATTTAAATCACATTAACTCAATGTCAGTTTATGAACAAAGTCTTATGAAATATTTTGTACAGTTGTAACAAAGAACAGTTAGAAAGCTTCATTGTGAAATGAAGAAGATTAACGTTAAATACATATGAAATTAATCTAATAATTTAATGCATTATTTGATTAAGAATTTATGAAGTTTTGTCTAATTCAAACATAACTTTAATCTTGGATCTATTTAGTTGACAGATGTTATGGGAATAAAAACACAAGTCATGAAAATATACATTGTTCTTTGTGACTGTTATATCCTGACGAGAATAATGAATGGAAACTGTTGGGATCTTTTGACTAGATTTCGCACAAATGCTACTTTCTATTTTATATTATGATGTCGGCTGTTTGGCTTGTATATAAACTCAGTATGTTTGAAATATATGATTTATATCATGGAGGCTGAGATTTATGTTCTGAACTCAACAGGCATGACTAGTCAGGAAGAAGGACCGATTAGTACTCTAGACTCCTTGTATGGGTTTATGCATCATCGAACACAAGACCACAAGTTATAACAGTAACATGTTATGGAGAATGGTAAGTTGTGTTATTTCATTCAGTTTGTAAGGATTTTCGAACATAAATACTTAGAATAATCAAGCTCATTTGAACAAATTAAATAGTTTAGCTATTGGGGTTATGTGATACGCCCAAAAAATTTTAAAATTATGAAGATTAACAGTTCAGATGGATAGTCTTGGAGTTATTGAGTACAGTAAACTTCTCTAATTTGTATGATTACTCAAGATTTGACCAATTAGCACTAAACGAAATAAAACATTTAATTTCGGTTAATTACAATTTTACCTAACTAATAGTTATATGATTTTCAATATTCAATGGTAAATTGGTAAAAGTTGCACGCACTCAATTTAACTGTACGTTTGAAAAAAACAAAGGCGTTCATTATATTGCAGTACTTTTTGCTATATAGTGACAGTTAATCTTACAATGATTATCAAAGAAAGTATAGTCAGATGAAATGAGGCCAGTCTAATTCTTGATGATGTGAAAATAATTCATACAAAGTTTTGATCCAATTCTAAAGTGTAAGTTGATAACTGAGCAATACATTGAATCTAATTGTTATCAATCTTTTATGTAAAATAAATTGAATGCTTACTTGATCATTTAATGTATGTTGATAAGTTTTTAATTTTTTCAATACATCTTGATAATGACATTGATAAGATTCATAAATGATAAGTATTTGTTTTCTAAGTTTCATAATTTCCTGTAAATTACTAGTATTATCCAGTTGACTAAATAAAGAGATAAAAAAAAATAGATGGAAAACGTTAAATGAACAGTTCAACGAAAATATAAATAATCATGACGTATATCCCATATATGACATGAAACAGATTATATGCAGACTAAATCAAATTTTGCGTATCAATTATTATACTGAACGGTTGAGCATTTAAAATATTTTCTTTTGTGTTATTACTGAGATAAATGTCAGTTGATAAATTTTATGAGCTAAATGACATATATGTCACCGGAATCATTGTGAAATCAATATTTGACTTTAATAGTTTAGTTCATGAGTCAATTAAAGCTAGATCACCATAGAAAACCTGAAAGCACTAAACGGCCGTTTCGTACTAGTATGGAACTCCTCAGCAGTGCGCATCTCTCAAAAAACTTTTTCAGATAATGTTCATCATACGCTCACTAGTAATTAGCTTCAAGAGGTATTTCCTAAAGTTTTAGTAAATAGCCATGACCTTTGGAGTCTAATAGGGTCTGTTGTGAGATAGTAACTCACTGAAGACAATGATGAACGGTGGTGCAATTTCGTGGATTGGTTAAAGTTAGACATTAAGACTGTTGGATACCGGCTCAGTAGTCTACAGGTCAGGCGTTCGCTCAGGAGACCGAACGTCTCGGGTTCGAGTCCCACATGCCTGGTCATGGGTGCGCACTGCTGAGGAGTCCCGCAATAAGACGAAACAGCCGTCCAGTGACTTCGGATTTTCCATGGTGTTCTGGCGTCAGTTGACTCATGAATACAAATATTAAATTACTATAATTTCCATAAAAACCCGTTCTGACAATATTTGACTCTTTTGTAACTTTGAAATGATAAAAAAAGCTTATTAAAAAAAGAATTGTTTTATTGAGTGAGAAATATGTATAAATAAATCGCATTTCAAGAGTCATACGTGTTTACTGTTATAATGCTTTCATTAGACAAGGAATGATATAATCAAATATTCATCTTCGTGGACAATGTTGGAAACGGAAGACTTCAATACTAATTCATAGAATTAGTCAAAGCTAACTGAGATAGCATTTTGGTATATGTCACATTGAAATGTAATGTACTGTGTAAGATGAAATATCACTTCATATTTATCTATTGCTATAATATTAAAGTGTAAAAGATTCAAAGTTTTTCTTAAAGACGATGCTTATTTACAATCGTATTTACAATTAGTAACTACAAATGTTAGTTATTAATAAAATAATAATCAGATAGAGAGGTATTGCATCATTCAAAATCACTATCGACAATAATAAATAGTTTCTAAGATATCGAATAAAAAGTTCTGTAATCAAATAAAGAGGTGTTGCGTAGATTTTTTGTAAGAAAATCAAATATTGAAATGGAGTTACGTATTAATCTAACGGCTGATAAAATATGCTACTATTATAATAATAGCTAATCAATGTTCGCGAAAAGATAGAAAAGAGTAAAAAGCAATAGATTGTTGTGAAAGGGAGACAAAAGTCGAAGTTAAGATTATAGAGAAATGAGATATTGGCCACGTCTTTGTATACAAAGATTAGACATCACTTGTTCAGTCGTTTGTTCCACCACATAAGTCATTAGTTTGTATTTCCTTTAAACCAATTCTTTTGAGTGTACGATTGGTTTCGGACGAATATTCTTGTTAAACTATGTGATAAAGATTTACGAAATGTTTCAGTATTGAAATAATAACGGGCTTCTGTAGTTTTTTTTCTTTAGCGACAAAAAGTAATGTTCAGTAGTGCATTTTGAGGGACTCCACTATGTGAAGCTGAAATAATTTGCACCAGAAGGGCAAGCAGATTAATAGATAAACATTAATGTGTCCCAAAACAGTAGCTTATTCTACGTATAACTGCGAATCAAAAACCGATTACACAAGACAATTCGAGATTTAGCTGAACAGAAAGTCCTAGTTTATTTTTCAGAATCTCCACTGTAGTATATTTATTGAACTATATGTTCGTCAAAACGATCTTCTTCAGTGCAACAAACTGTCCATAAATTGTCTTTAATCTAGTTGAATATATATGTATATAATCATGAAACAAAAGTATAATATGTTCTTTGTTTAATGACTAGTTTTAGGAAACATACTGATGGTGTTTACTTCAAATTATTCAAATCCTTTTTAATTTAGTTTCTGTGTATCATGTAAATAAGCGCATAGATCTTACTAGTGTAATATACGTGAGAAATAAATAGAATTCTTTCAGTTAATAATCAATAAATACAAATAGTTTTTTTTAATTTTGACTGTCAATTATTCATTTCTCAAAACACCGACTCATTAGTAAATAAAAACTACCAAAATAGACATGCTCTCTGTCTTATTATAAGTGACGGTAGTGTTCAACCATTGAATTCACCCTATAAACTTATTTTTTTATGAATGTTTATAGTTAATGTCATTATTCATAAATTAAAGACTGTTCTTTTTTTAAAAAAAGCGGACATTTAAATTAGTAAGTTAAAACAATAATTTAATTTTGAAATATGAAAACTTTAGTCAACTATGAGATGTTTATGGAATCTTTTGAAAAATTGATCAAGTTTTCATTTAGATCTGATTAATTATTTGTTAAAACATTGTTTTTGATAGAGAAATTTCATACAATTTTCAAAGTTATTCCGAAAAATTATTAGTGACTTGAATAATAAATTCATATAAATCTATTTATTGCCCGCCATTAGTTTGTTTTTATGCATTAAGTGAAGAAACGTTAGAAATACAATTTTTCTACTCATTGGGATATAACAAAAGTATAACTTTTGGTGGAGTTTTGTTCTCTGAGCTGCATGGTACACCTAATGATAACGGATGCACACTACAGGATCCGCAAATAACAGCACGTCATAGAGGACCAAAAGATGAAGCTACAAAGGATGCTCACATCAGAACATTTGGAAATCGTGACAACAGCCATGGAGAACGACCAAACCATCCAGCTCAGAGAACAAAAGTCCACCAAAATCATCCACCTGAGCTACAAATCTTCTCCACCATCTCAAAAGTTTAACTATTATGGTTCACTTATGTTCTTACTGAATTGGCACAAAACACTCGTCATTTCGTTTGTTCACGACGTAAAAATCATAATAGCCATATAGCTGTTTAAATTGTTTATAAACCGAAACAGAGATACGAACATAAAGAATATTTAACGATGTAAATGAATTATATTAGGAATTACGAATTTTGATTAGAAAAACAACACTGAATAGAATTACCTTTTAAGATTATCACCATTATTATTGGATGTTATATCTTTACAATAAACATCATTATTAGCAGTGATTTTGTTACTGTAATCACTTTTTTCAAAAGGCTGTTGATATAAAAAGAACAATTCGAAGAAAACTAAATAAGTTAAAGCAGACTGGAGAATATAAAAATTAATTGAATGCTTATATATAGAGATACAACACTACCTTTATTTCGATTGTGCAGGGAAGTGGAGTAATACTATGCCTTGCATCAAAACTGCGATTCGATTAAGCTCTGACCCAGATTTAATTTTCATGCTAAGACTCAAATTCAGTATCAACAGACTCAAACACCAACCCATTGTCCGTTAACTTGTTTAATGAATACAATGTTTATTTGTAATTGTCGACATTTTCCTTTTAGTTGACATTCATGGTTCATATGTAATAGAACTCGGGACTAAAAATGGGGACATTAAGAGATCCGTTCAGAAAGCAGAAATCACAACAGAATATAATCAATGTATGGTTCTAAATACATTCAAATGTTGATGTTCACGCTGAATTTCTCATACAGCTGGCGAGTACCAAATAGCACCAAACGCATGTACTGAATAATGTTGCTTGCCGCAATCCGTCTACTCTATAAAACCGTGTAACCACACGGCTATTTGGAAACAGTTTGCTCAGAGTCCACATTAGACAACAAAGACTAACAGAAATTTCAGCACTGAATATTAATAACATGATAATTCAAACCCTTACTAATGTTTGTAATTCTTTAAATTTTATGCTAAAAACTAAATTTACTTTGAATAGCTCTTCATAAATCACCTAACTGTATAACTATTGTTGGTTGCGATCTGGATATCTTTGAGGTCTAGCAAGAAACAATGATCTATAGCGTCAACCACGCTATGTGTAAGACAGTTATTGACGATTGATACCGGATTATGACTTCGTAACACCACGAATTGATTGAAGGCTGACAATGATCAGACGAACTATTCCACAGTGATTCACGAGATTGATCACATCATGATGACTAAAGGTCATAAGTTTTTTGTTATTTTGAATACCAAGTTATGAAAGCTCAATGGTGCTTTTGTTAGTAGTCCAGCGTATTTTATTCCGTTATTAATATCATTTTCGAATAAAATTGCATTAATACTTTTTAAAATACTATATGGGTATAGAAAAAAATGATTAATTTTTACACATTGTTTTTGACTTGGCTGTCTGTTGATTACGTATTTATCCCTGAAATCACATAAGTGTTCAAGCTTTCTTTCAGTTAAGTATGGGGATATTTTTTTAATTATCAGCCAATAGGTTGGCTTAACTCATTTAAATAAGTGAGAGAAGTACAGAAGGGTCATGTCATCAAATAAAATCCGAAGTCTATCACTAATTTTTCCTATATATATATATATATATATATATATATATATATATATATATATATATATATATATATATATATATATATATATATATATATGCGTATATATATACGCACATTCAACTCAAAATGTTTCGTTACCCTACATTTCTGGCCTAGTAGTCTACTCTGACAAAAACCATTTAACCGAAACTTCCTATTTATTTTTCAATCGTTGTATTCTAGAAGGTCAATTCAATAAATTTATCGATTTCTAACAAATCAATCTTTTATAAAATAGAGTGTTTAGTTACTTTCTTTGTCATGAGTAAATCTTGTTTACTGAGAAAATCCAAACAAACAAGGAAATGCTATGTACAGACAAAACTGATTGATTTATTGAGTTCTATGAATTTCATACGCTTGTTAGCTTATTCTTTATATAAAATGGAAAAAGAAAATTATGTTGAGGTAATTTTACAAATGTTTATGATTTGTCTATGCTTTCATCAGATTTATTAAACTTTTATGCAAGTTATGGTCAGTCATACTGAATGTTGAATATTTAACGTAACTAATTTTGTCTTGTTTTTTCACTTCTACCTGAAGTTTGTGCTGATGATGTCGTTCAGAAGAACGATGAAAGCTCCACGACCAAACCATCCAGCTCAGAGAACAAAACCCCACCAAAAACAAACAAATTCGTAACAATAATTAATATCTTTTATCCATTGTCTAAATGTTTTACGACCATTTCATCTGAACTTAGTCAAACATCTTAAACATTCGTATAACTAGTTAATGTCAGATGACTGAAAAAATTTAAAATTTTCATTATAAAGCTAATTACTTCAGTGATGATAGTGTTTCTGAATTTGATAATGAGTGATGTGAATAGAAGTATCATTCTAATCTAGACTGTATGTAGTTTTAGGTGAATAATATCACTTAAGTAAAAATGTAACTACAGAGATTTTGTAAATTGACTGCAGTCAACCAAAGATCAAATGAGTTACTTGACTTAGTGTTCAGTTTATATCAGGATCAAAAGAATTCAATCATGAATAAGAACTTGAAAACATAACAGTGTTGGCTACTCAATGTTGATTAAGTGTGTTTTTTATTGTAATTTGTAAACAAATATCTTTAGATAAAACTTTTACATATTAATTTGTTTAGATAATCAACTTTAATTAATGTCAATCAAACACATTTTCTCATAGTTACGATGAGTAGTAATATATATATCACTTACTCAATGAAGAAAATTGTAATAGAACAAAGGTAATTGTTTCAGAAATGCTACATTGTTTACTAAGAGTCGAACTCAATCATTAGATATATTCATATTTTGTTTTGTTTTTAAAAAAAAAATGAACATTTTAAGTTTAATTGATTTTTGGACAAATTTCTGCTGGTTTTATTTTTATACTTCTATGTATCCAATTGTATCCAATTGTAAAGTCTTATAAACTTACATTATAACTAACTACAAAAAAAACGATGAGAGAATAGTTGAATTGACATAGATTTTGTTTGGTAAATGTTGAATTAACCGCGGTTATATAATTGTTAGGGATGATATATCATAACTTAATTAGAGTAGAACTACACTTTAAATTAATTTCATAACAGTAAATTAAATTTTATAAATCATCTACCGTTGCTAGTGTAATGAATTGTTAAGTGAGACATTGAAAAACTCTAAGTACTACTATTATTATTATTATTATAAAGTGAATTTAGATTTTTTGATGAATATTTGGATCCTTTCTAGATGTAATTTAAACATTAAGATAGATATTATATTGTTGACTATGATTATCCAAAATCGAATAAAGTATCTACTATAGTAGCAGATTATTCAATTCATTTATATATTCATGTTTCATTCTTCATGATCAAAACAACAAAAAAATCAATTGTGTAGTGAATAATTTTACTGCTCTTAACTACAATATAATTATGTATTGATTGACTCGATATAAGTGATTACTACCAGTTTTGTTTAGTGTTTTAAATACTGTTTATTTATTTAAAAGAAAAAGTATTTTACACCAAGAATAATATAATGATAAGAGCTGAACAGATAAACTAGATGAACTCAAATTCTCTTAACAACCACTCGTGTACATTAGAAACGATAAGGTCAAGAAATTTTGAAATTAAAATGTAACAGATTCATGAGAGTTTATTATGAAAATGTCATTATTCACAGATAGTCAACAAATTTCTAATAAATATATCTTTAGGTGTATATGAGACGATTGTGCAATACAATTCATGAAATATGAATCACACTAACTAACCGATTTCATCAGTTCCAATCAACACATCTTTCACGATAAATAACGATTTAACTTGCTAAAAGTAAAACTTATTATCAAGATACTGTAAGATTACAGTGTAATTATTTAAGTTTAGTTTGATATTGTAGGTTACATTAACACAGATTAAAAGTACTGAAATTCTATTCAGATAAAAAGGTTTTGATCAATGTCAAGTATATCCTACAGTTTCGCGTGGCCTATACGTAAAGTAGGATCAAAGCCACAAAAATATATCAGTTAACCTAAAATACACAAAATGGGAAACTTTTCGTTACACACATTTTGATTCTGGATCATTAATGCTAATTTACAGGTTATTATGTGAATTTCCAAATTAAAATCGACTCACAATTTCTAACAATAAGGAATTCATTATATTCTAGAAACCTTGTTCAAAATTATGATTGTGTGTAGTAAAAACTAGTCTTAGAGAAGAAGGACAACTTAATTTCACCAGGTTTGATTGTTTGCACTATAGATAGTTATGGAAATCGTAGTGAAACATAAGAACACCACATTAGTGGGAAAGCATATTGAATTGAACTTCTAAAGCTGAGAAAAGCACCTAAATTATGTAACTAATGGTACTGAGAGAATAACCTTGCATGATATAGTAAAAGCATTTTTATTTACAAACGTGATGTGATTCATATGTCGAAAAAAGTACAGTTAAACCACTTTTCTGCAATACAATAATGTTTGTTATTAATACGTTATTTATACGAGTAATTATTTATATTCTCTGATAGAGCCGTTGTAAATGAATTGATTGTAACTAAAAAATTATCAGACAAATTTCGATCCAAACATATCAAAGGCAATATTCTCATCATAACAGTATGAAAAATCTACTTTAATTCTCCTTAGCTGAAGTATTTACCTGATATATATAAAGTTGGCCATCTTTAAAACATTGGGATATATAGTGTTTCTCTTTTATTTATTTGTGAATCAAATATGAGCATAAACCTAGAAAATTCATATTTTGCATGAAAATGATATTGTATAACATATTATCCAATCCCATGTTATTCATATGGTAGTATAAATTGACTATAATCTAAAAATAGTCATGTTACAAAAATACTCATACTATTTTGTATATTACAGCTATCCATTACAACTTTAGGACAACCACAATATACATCGATTTAAAAAGATTAATTAAAGAATGTTCACTGTTTTTCACTTACATTTATTTCCTTTAAACAATCATTCAATTGTAGACTGAATATTTTAACATTTAACTATTTTTCAATAGTTATTTTAAAATCATTCTGAATTAAACATTTTAAACTAAGATTGGTAAAAATAAATGTTGGCAAAATAAAAGTACAATTTTAAAATAAGTGTAAAAATCACAAAGCATATATATATATATATATATATATATATATATATATATATGGGAATATTGAACTCACATGAACAGTTGCCATGACAACACTATTTTCCTCGTTATAACAATTGTTTAGAATAGTTTGCTTATTACAATTTTGGCCATTATATACAACCTTTGGAATGATATCCATATTGGTAATTTTTAGCGCAGAAAAGTTCTTTGCCAAATTTTGTAATCTTTCATATTCTAGAAAAAGTTTATGTTTAATTTCACAAATTCGTTCTTTTTGTTGTTGATCTATTTGCTGTTTACAGTTTTAAAAAAAGTAGTCATTAAATAAGTATATGTATGTAATTGTGGGTAAATGAAATGAAAACTAATGAATCAAACTATTATAGAATGAGCAGTTGATAATTTAGTTATTCGCCTCAACTGAATTATTTTTGTTCATTGGATCGAGAGGAATAGTTTATTATCGGTTGTGTTCTTTTTTTAATGTCTTTATGTCAAGTGGATTAGCGATAATCACTAACAATTTTGTGATTCTATACAATACTATGCATTCTTTAATGAGTTGTAAAATATTTCAACAGTCACCTAATAGTTCGAATATTTGATCGTTAGGCACCATATTATGTACTGAAAACGTGATACGTTTATATCCTATAAGTAAGATGACATGAAATCTCCAAAAGTATTTTATGGTTTCCACTAAACGATTTTAAATGGCATGGTTACTTAAAACTATGAGTTCTATAAATTTGTGACTGACTAATTGTATACTAAAAGAAAGAGTAGGATGTTTATTACATAAGCATACCTAAATTTGAAAAGGTCATATCGTTAATCACTAATCCCTTCCGTATTATTTCATTTAATCAGAAGAGAATGAATATTTTGGTAAAGTAGTGAACAACTAAAAGTTATCACGAGATTAGTAACTAAAACAGCAGTAAAAAACAGCTAACAGCATTTGTTATAAAAGCGAATAAGTGACTAGTCATTTTCACTATACTGCTTCTCTAAACCACTCTGCCATGTAATACTGAATGCCTTGAGAATTATCATGGACACTAAGTTGACCAATAGAACTTAATAAGTAACATTTTAAAATATTTTAGGGATCCTACCATTTGATAGAATTGTAGAAGAACTTTGGCATGAAACTTAGAATTGTATCAGTTAAATTAATTCTCCGAGTATTAATTGTTTAATCTGAATTCCGAAAACGAACTTTAAACCGTTGGCGATAAAGAATATTGTATTGGTCAATACATTATCTGACAATGTATACAGTTACCTATCGTTATCTTTCACTTCTGATCATTTGAATTTACACAGGAAATACTGAGTTTTTCGATCTGAGACTATACATGTTTCACCGTGAAGCTGCTTTAAGTAATCATTAACAAAGTCCTATATTATGATACTTTTTTAAAAAGGTTTCTAGTATGAAAGTAAGCAGCCGTTAACAAACATTATTCCTCTGGTTTGATAAAGCTTTGGTTGTCAGAGATCTGTAAGAGGGAAAAGAGGATGTCATTTATTTCATTAACTAATGTTCGGAATTTTTAGGCGATTTTAACAATTTTGACAGTAGACACAGATAAAAACAGATCTACATGTTGTCTAGGACTTCATATTGTCCCACGCCTAAATACTTACGGAAAACAAATGAGAAAATATTAACTGTTAATTTGTAACATATCTTAAGCAAAATTTCAAAAAGTTATGTAGTTTTGAAAAATACTACGTACATCTTTAGTTAGAATATCATAGCTTTTATAACTAAACCTTTATTTTACTCAATAATGTCAGACATTCACGGTTGTTATCCACCTTAATATCTCACTCCGTTTCGAGAAAACCTAAAGACCAGTGATTAGACCTAATCAATGTGTTAAATTCAAAGAATAAAGAACTTGATTCTCCAGGTGTTTTACAATGAAATTTAAGAAATTAAAGCTGGTACAATTGACGGTGTTCTCTACTGAAGCTAATCATATGGAGATATAATTGACTGAAGAATTAAGAATAAATTGCATTATAAATGACAGGAATGGCAATGAATAACATGGAGTACTATCAAAAAGTTTGAATGAAATCTTTTAGTTGTCTACTGTATATACATTTTTAAGAAAATGTACTTTAAATTTACTTTCCCGAAAAAGTACCGCCAATCAGAAGACATTTATAAATTACAAACGAAACATTCTACAACCTCTCTCTCTCATTCAAGTAAGTTGTGAAAATCATTTTTCATTATTAATGCTATTACCAAATGTCTTACAGTTTTCACACTCTTAAGTCTAAAACATAGCATAAAGTTGAGTTTAAACCAAACTCAGCTTACACTAGTTTACTCGTTCGATTCTAACTTTTCTCCAATGTATTTGCTTGTCATAATGAAACCATGACGAAGAATGAACTTCATATAAACACAGTCTAAATAAACCATTGTTCAGTTATCAAACTTGATTAAATTGTCAAACCTGCAGAAATAATGTTATAGAATAACTCATATTCACTTGCCAATGTTTACTTGAATCTTCCCATTGATGTTTAGGACTGCAATTGATCAGTCTCTTATTGACATATGTGCATTCCGTGAGAATTACCTTGACATTGCCTGAATTCACAAGCATTATAAGCAAAGATGGATAGTGGGTAGCAATGAAATCCATGACACGCGTTTCGTTCTATTCGGGACTTTTCAGCTGGATTTACCTGCATCTCAGAGTTGATTTTAACTCCGGGACTCGGACCCAGGAGTGAACATGAATTTTGAGATGAAGGTGCATAGCACGAGACACGCGTCCTGGAACCCACTGCTAGCCACTGTTCATCGTTGTTTATATTAACTCATATTATAAATATGTCATAATTTACTTAATTTGAAAATCGAAAGTCTAAACGATGTAAAATTTACAAATATGATCACCCAAGTAAAATGTTCAAGTTTTCTATGCAACAATGCTATTTCAGTAAGTAAATATTAGACCAAATCTATTTTAAAGGAAAACCAATAGAATGATGATTACCTAGTTAAAATTTATGCTACATATATTCATTCGAATAAAAATCAACAAATCGATAGTGAAGCTTACCTGTGATTCACACACATCATTCTTTAGTCCTTCACCAAGTTTACACAAAATTTCTTGCTGACATCTATAGACAAATTGAAAAACAGAACAGTAATTTACATCATATTGTAGACGAGATTATATATACATATATATATTCAAAGAGGGGTTTTGTTGATGTTATAGTAATTCGATAATTGAATTCATGAGTCAGTTAAAGTTAGACCACCATGGAAAACCTGAAATCATTGGTCAGCCGTTTCGTCCTAGTGTGGGACTGCTCAGCTGTGCCCATCCACGGTTGGCTTGGTTAAAGTTAGACATTAACATCGTTGGATGCCGGCTGGCTCAGTAGTCTATTGGTTATATATGGTCTTATTAATTAAAATAATTTGTTGATTGATTAATAAATATAAAAGGATGAATAATTATCATTTTTCTTGATTTTTCTACTAAAAAATGAAATACTTTTTCAAACTAACACTACAGATTATATGATAAAGAGAAAGATAACATTGAAAATGTTTATTCATTTGTATTTCAACAAATAAATGAATTAGGAATTGTTTTTATAAACAAAAGTTATTGCGAAGTATTTGAACTAACGAAACCTGATAAAGAAACTGTAATTTTTAATCACAATTGATTGATCACTGGGTGGTGATCAATGTCATGCTTGTCTAGTCCTTATTAGTACAGATCGAATGCTATCGATCATGTTGCAATGTGGCCACCAGTCTAGGTGACTCGACACTGCGGGCACTATGTATTGAGATTTAGATGGTGGTTGGAGGTAGTCAACAGGAAACCCTGGACCCGGGTTTCGTGCTACTTGGCACTCGTCAGCAAGGTGTACCTGTAATCTTGAGGGAACTGGTGCTACCTGGCGACGAATGTCAAGTAGCACGAAACCCAGGTCCAGGGTTTCCTGTTGACTACCTCCAACCACCATCTAAATGTAATTTTTAAGTTCACAAATTAATGATAGTTAAAAATAATTTACAGTACAAATTCAGTCTAATTATTCTTTGCAGAATGTTAATTATGTGTTATGGTGTGAAATTTACAAGATGATTTTGCAAACTGCTTTCACCAGTCTCAGTTCAATATTTTTTAAGTTGTAATTTGTTACAGAGGTTTTATTTATGACTCCTTGAATAAATTCGATGCAGTAATCGTTGTTTTAACTTTGTGAACTGTTATGAAATGAAATGACAAAGCTTGTCATTTAAAATGTTCTCTTTAAAAAGTGTACTGTAAACTGATTGTCAAAAGCATAAAGATATATTTTTGATCAAAACAAAATACAAAAGCTGTAAAGAGTAAAAGATCAAGAATTAATATCCATTGGAAGGGTAATATTACCAAAACCGTTTTGTTACTGTATATATACTGAAATTCAATAGATGACTGATAGTTTATTTTCGTCTTAAAAAAAGTATTATTCAATGGGAAGTCTGAAATTAATCCGAGGCTTTACTAATGTGATTGCAATTTTATGGATGTCCAGTCGGCTTTTGGATAGAAACTTTGAAATTAAAGGTTTTGGCCGTTTTATGGTTTTTTTCGTATCATTTCATGTTAAATCAACCACTGTTTACCACACAAACAGCTAGTGAGATTAACATAAATACATAATTTCACAAAGCCTTGCTAGAAAGGAGTAAAGTATAACAGTTTCATGAACAAAGCAAACACTTAAATAGTGGGACCAAATATTTTATTGTATGACAACTCAGTTTACATAATAAAGCTCGGTAGAAAGAAGGAAAAATAATTTCAGTTTAGGCAAAGAGGATTCAAACAAACAATAAAAAATGAGTACCAGTTCAGTTGGTTTCATATTTGAGTAGTCTTTATGAGCTGAAATGTATTGAATTTGTCACTCTGTAAATTTCAATATTAGAATGATAGTGAATACGTGTTTAATCTGTTGATTTGGGAGCTGAAGGGACAAACTTCAAAGCAAATTTATGTAGCTTAACTGGAGTGAAATTATCGATAGTGTTTATTCATAAATAAACGGTTTGTTCCTTGAAAAACGAGTAGCTACACAACTGAATAACAGCTAAAAATGATTTAAGTTATTTTAAACGATCAAACAACATACTGTTTTGGCGAATATTCATATAAACTTTCAACTCTCATATCCATATATATGATAATTAGTAAACGATATACTGAGTTCGAAAGGATTAGTACTGAAACACATTCATGAATTTGATTTTAGATGACTACAGAAAAAGTATGTAAACAATGGTAATGCTGAAAGTCACGAAAAAATAATATTCAAAAAGTTTGGCTAAAATTTGTAGCCCGATTGGGTGCTTTTGGCGGTGTTGTATTCACAAAACTAGACGGTTTAATTGTGAGACTTCCACTATCATTCTGGACAAAATCATCAGCGTTTATCCCAGAACGTAAATATTTATATATACAGTTTATGAGTAAATAACATATCTATTTTGTTAAAATAAATTCGAAAAGAAATGCTTGTGATGTTGAGTGACTGAAGGCATTAAAATACGTTTTCATCATCGTTTTGTCGATATTCGCAATATCATGTAAAATAACATTACCATCTATTATGTAAATCACTTTTAACAATTTATCGAGTAAACTGACTGCAAAGTATTTGATTATAAAGCGTTTCATTTCTAAGTTTGTTATAAAAATGCTGAGTGAAGGTTAGCGATTCAATGTCTAAATGTTAGATACATAGGTTGTCATTTAGTTAGAAGAAATAAAAAGTTTGTTATTAAAGTGAATTATTAAAGTAATTTGTTGCGGCTTCTACAACAGCTGATCACTTAATGACATGATAATGAAGTTATGAATTGATGAACATTCAGTTATAAGTTTAATTAAAAATCGAGGTATTTTTATTTCAATGGTTGATTTCACGAGTCAATTGAAGCTAGTTTACCACGGAAAGCCTCGAATCGCTGGATGGCCGTTTCGTCCTAGTATGGGACACCTCAGCAGTGCGCATCTACGATCCCGCCCTCCGCGAGATTTGAACCCAGGGCCTTTGATCTCGCGCGCGAGCGCCTAACCACTAGACCACTGAACCGGCATCCAACGTTGTTAACGTCTAACTTCAACCAATCCACAAAATTGAGCAACACATTTATTGTTTATTTATTTATAGAATATTTTTAAAACAAAAGTATTTGGTTATGAAATCAAAACGGTCATATATATGTTTTTAAATACCAGTTAAACAATTTGAAAATGTTTAATTGCTATAAATAATATCTTAATGGATAAAATTTATTGGACTATTTCTTGTCTAAACCATATTAGGGAAATTTTCTTTGCCTGACCACAAATGAAAGTTGATATAATAGTCTTCAGTATAAAACAATATGTATTTATCAATACTCTATTATATCAAGTATGATTATTGTCATCGAAAAATCATTTACGGAATAATTTTACATTCATTATCTATTGTATGTCTACTTTAAATATATTCATTTCGAATAAAATACTTTTTAAGAACATCAAAAATTAAAACTATGATCTGTGAAACAACAGACCAGTATTTTTATTTGTTTGTAAGTATATTTTTATATATGTGTGCGGTTGTTTATTTCTACGTTAAAGAGGTTGCTGACCCCATGTCTAACCTTCCTCCTTTACACAAACTTGAGACCGGCAGTAAACCTAGAAGGTCGTTAGGCGGAGCCAACATCAAAGTCAGAATCTTCAATACGAACATCAAGACAGTTCTCATGTATAGAGTTGAAACATGGAGAACTACCACAACCATCAAAAAATTACAGGAATTTATAAACATCGTCTACGCAAGATACTCCAGGTCCGTTGGCCGTATACTATCACAACAGTCTGCCGTGAGAAAGAACAAATCAACCTCCAGCTGAAAAGGTAATTAAGAAAAGACGATAGTAGTTTATAGGATATACATTACGGAAAACTTCAAACTGCATCATGAAGCAGAAGGTAATTTGAAACCCTTAAGGGAAATGGAAAAAAGGAAGACTTAGGAACAAAATGTGTCGAAATTGGAGGCAGATGCCAAAAGAAGGAATGGCAACTGGAGACAACTGGACAGGATTGCCTAAGACAGATTTTGACGGGGAACGCCGGCGGGAGGCCTGTGCTCGTCTACGAGGGGTAATAGGCGTAAAGAAGTAAGCAAATAAGTGCGCTTGTGCAGCTCACATACTTTTAAAAAAGTGTACTGATTGATTTTTGCCGAGGCTTACTTAGTTTTCATGTTTGCAATATTCTTTAAACTACAATTATATCTGTTACACTTTGAAGTAGTAAGTTACGTATTTTTCTAATAAAGATTTTTTTTACCAAAAGATTGGCAATTCAGCTTAAGACTACCGTGAGATTACTAGCAATGATAAGAAAATGATTTGATAGCTGAATAATCTAATAAAATCAGAATATCTTTTCAGATAGAATAAACAAAATGATAATAACTGGCAAGGTATTTCGCTTTATCTTTTAATTATTCAATAACTTTCCCTAAATATATATTTAATTTGTATACTGGAAAACACAAAATATTTATCACCAGTCCAGTGTTAAAGCTGAATTATAATTATTTGTAAATGTGCCCAATAAAACACACAGAATTGCGTTTTTAAGTCACATACTATGTGTGATTACTTTGTCTTGCAAATTAGATATTATGCGTCTTTCAAGATTTACAGAACAACTTATACGAAGAAAATGATGAAAAAGATTGATGAAATTTGTAAATTAGTTCCTAGCTATTCTATTTTATGAATCATAATTTACTGTTAAATGATGATAATACTGTTGTGTTCTCCAGTTATTTGCATATGTTTACTTCTAGATAACAGATAAGAACTGATATTACTTAAAAAAAGACAATAATATAAGAAAACGCGGATCTGACTAACAATGACTTCAAATAGATTTAAATATGATTAACTATTTCTATTCAATGATAAGAATGTAGCCTTTGTAAATCAAGTACAATAGTTTTATGTTTTAAATCAACTTTTAATTTTTAATATTTTGCTTGAAGCATCTTATAATGAGTAAAACTTACTGATGTATATATATATATGTATATCAGGTACACATACTTACGTAATTCTATCGTCAATTAATGGATTTACATTTTTTGGTTGAATCGTGTCAAATATTTTAGTATATAAAAATATCGCCAATTATTTTTTTAAAAAAACATGAGCTTATAATCAAATTATATCCCACTATTCTATCTGTTATATCCTAGCGAAGATTAAATCACAAGTAACTTCTGAGACTTATTAATGGACTATTATTATCTATTCTTATGGTATAATTATTCAGTAATTAAATTTATATTTATCTTATTATAAGCTTTATTTTGACCTATAATTTATTATTGTACGATTTACGGTTCTTAAGCTATGTTCAGTCTATTAACTGCTTCCTCACAAGTTTACAGTCACTTTTTGGCTTTATTGTGTATGAATGTTATTTCCTATTTTATGGTGCATTGCTGTATGTTTGGTTGATATATAAACTCAGCATATTTGAAATAAATAATTCGCATAGTGTAAGCTGTTATTAGTGTGATGGACTCAACTGGACGGGTTCAGCGAACATAGAACCAATAAGGACGCTAAGCTCCTCATACCAGTCGAATATCATTGGTTTAGTTGAGTGCGGAGATTGTATAAGTCGTATTTTGATTAGTGGATAAATCACATGATAAAAAGCCCGACATAAAGACACAACACTATCCATACTGTTAGATTCCAATGATAAAATGTTATTTAAATCTTTATGATTTTAATTGAATGTTTGAATATACGTAATTAAAGTGGTAAATGCAAATTCACTCTATGTATACTTGACAACAATGTTCCAAGTTCTATCCTTTACAGTATCATTATCATGTATAACTGAAAAAAAAACATAAATTACAATCAATCAATTATCTAGAATATTTTGGATTACAGATGATGCAATATATTCATCAAACCCAAATGACAATAATAATAATAATAATAAAAGTATTATAATCACTTACATTTTAACAAATGTTAATTGTTTTGTTAATTTCACATTCATTTCATGATATTGTAAAACTTGATTTTGTAAATCATTTAATCTTTCTTGTGCACAATGAATAACATTATTCATAAGAATTAATTGATTTTCATTCAATAAATAATTCTGTTGTAAATGATAATTTTTATTATTAAAATTATTATTTATTAATTGTTCAATAGAATATTTATTTAATTTAGTTTTTAATTTAATTAATTTTAAAGAATTTCTAAATTGTACATTGAATAAAGATGAATTGGATGTATATGTTGACAATTTATTAGAAGAATATATTGAATTGAATAAGTCTAATTTGTTATTATTATTATTTAAATTATTTCTATGACGTTGATCATATAATTTTGATGTAGAAGAAACTGAATTAATACCACATATAGTATTACTTTTTTTTAATTCATAATTTTGTTTTATTTTAGAAAGACTACCGGTTCGAATAAAATATAAATTAGATAATGATGTATTATTTGAAGAGTAATTTGAATATTCTGGTAGAGTATTATATCGATGATCTTTTATTTCCTATTCATATAAACAAACAAAAAGAAAAGAAAAAAGGCGGATTGAATAGTTAACTTTGAAAATTGAATTAAGTAATTTTGACAATTTATTGTTAAACTAGATGAATTGTATATTTAACAATTTCTATGAAGAAACGATATTACATCTTTCGTTGATCACGTGATCGTAAAGTATGTTTTAGTTAAAAACGACCCGACCGTTGTTGCTACCTTGACGTGGTGGTCGGGCTTGCCTATCATGATGAAGCAACCGAGCTATGCTGGCTGGAACAACCGTTCTTCAAGGTTCTACCATGTTAGACAGGTCGGTTGAAGAGCGGTAAGACTAAAATGAGGGATTTTCTGAAATATATAAAAGGAACCGAGTACATAGTACCATTATTTCCATTAAACAGGTTATTTTTAAAATCTAAAGGATAAAAAAGACAACAATATCAATCACCTCATTAAAAAAGGAACGAATTGAGCGAAGAAATTTCTTTTCAATTAGTTTTTCATCATGGCTCTACACTAATATATATACGTTTTACAATAATAATATAATACTCATCGAGTAGATACGTTACGTAATAATTACATAATGACATTTAAATTAACATTGATTAATTGGAAGAAAGAGGATTATTATTATTCAAAGTGATCAAGAAGTTGCTACTTTGCGTAATGTAAGAAACAAAGGAACAGAATTTTAACGGATGGTCAATAGGATGGTAGTTACGTAAGAATCAAGAGATGAATGTTGAGAAGTTATTAAGTTTAAAAGTCAAGTTTTTTCAATCATGATTTCTCAACCTGATTAATCACTTTGAATAATTAATAACATCAAAATGAAGAAAATGAAATATGTAACTGTCCATGAGATTATTTATGAAACAAAAAACTAGCTCGATATCAAGAAAAATATTTTGGATAGCTTTCAAGTAACTTTATAATAACGTACTCGAACCAGTGCTAGTGTTCAAGTTACGCTTGTTGTATGTTGACGAAATAATTCTTTTTTTTTCATTTTCAGTTTATAAGTCCGTAATGTAATATTGAAACCAAAAACTTGATGAATGAAGTCGATTTAATCAACCACACATAATGGAATTGTTAACATACACAAATTTAAGTATATCTTTATGCATTTGGTTTAATGAATAATAATGTGTTCTGTATAAAATTTAAGAGCTTCATTTCAAGACTCTAAACTATTTACATACCTATCAATCGAATAGCTATTGAAGTATAATGAAATAGTCCATTATCAAATATTTTTAAATCAATGGTAAGTTTATACGAAATGCAGTCGGCACATTTGTCAAAAACTCTCTAACTTATAGAATTTTCATCAATTTTATTTACAATATGATTGATTTATATTGTAAACGTTTCGTGTTAAAACTGACAAAACTACTAACGGTAACTGATATATTTAAAATTTCACGTTACATTGATCAGCGTTTATTGTAAGATAGTTGTGGTCTACCACAAAAAAATTCTTAAATGATGTAGTATAATCTAAATGATAATACATTGGTTAATTTATCAGGATTGTAGTATAAAACTTCATTTAAGAAATATTCATTATTGTGGATAATTTTATCGTTAAGAGTATTTCACTTTCTAAAGTTTTTACTCTATATTGATAGTGAATGAGCTGGAACAACAAAACAGAATTATATTCTTATCTGATATCTCTTTGCTGCATATAACATATATATACTTTGGTACGTCATATTAAAACTTGCATGTTTCTTTGGTAAGTTTGTGAATGAGCAGTATGAGGAAACCCATACAGAGATGAAAGAGTAATCTAGTGCTTCCTGATATATAAATATCTAATTATTTATTAAATATGGTTGAAAAATCTTTGATCTATAGTCCCTTATTTCAAATTTTGTCAATAAAAGTTTGTGTTTAAAATTCTGTATCAATACACTTCATCAGTATCACATCCACAGCAAGATTTATGTAATTAACCTATTATATAGAACAAATGGTTATCTAATTCCATTAAAGAAGCCATATCGTCTGTGTTTTTCCTCAGAAATATAAAGAATAAATTTTATTTTGTTCACGTGTTTTCGCTGAAAATATTTTCCTTCCAATATTGAATACTAGATATGATTTGCTTCTTTTTCCAGTTAATGAACACTGAACAAAAGATTGGCTTATTAAATGGACAATTTGTAAAATGTTTCTACTTATGAGTTTATTTATATTTTATATATATCTAATTGAAAGAGTAAAATATTTTAATTTCGACTTTGTCTCAACTAAGAGGAATTAATGTCAAAATGTGATATTGTAGTGTATCCTACTTATGTTGACAGACATAAGCAGTATGTAACATCAATCGGAAGTAGAAAACCTGACAGTACAAAGCTAAGGAGATCGAATCGAAAAAAAACAGAAAGGGGAATAGAAAGCAACTGTGAATTGGAAGAATCATACAGAATGTAAAGGACAGTTGATGGAAGATTTACAGATGAAATATATAATATATGAATTCCATATTTTATAAAGACATTCAGTAATTTTGCATTAACAAATAGTTTGGTTGTCTCCACATGAGTTCTCGTTCATCACAATAATTAGCATTTTGAGGTAATATTAATGATTTGCTGCGGAAAACCAAGGTCCTCAAATACAACACGGACAACAGCAATCCAATCACTCTTGATGGCGAAACTCAGGAATATATGAATCTTTCACATACCTAGGAAGCATCATCGATGAACAAAGAGGTTCAGATGCAGACGTAAAAGCGAGGATTGGAAAAGCAAGGGTCGCATTCCTACAGTTCAAGAACACATGGAACTCAAAACAACTTTCAACCAATACCAAAATGAGAATCTTTAATACAAACGTCAAGGCAGTTCTACTGTACGGAGCTGAAACTTGGAGAACTACAACAACAATCATCAAGAAGGTACAAGTATTTATAAATAGCTGTCTACGCAAGATACTCAACATCCATTGGCCGGATACCATCAGCAATAGCCTTCTGTGGGAGAGAACAAACCAACTTCCAGCTGAAGAAGAAATTAGGAAAAGACGATGGAAATGGATAGGACGTACATTACGCAAACCGTCAAACTACATCACGAGGCAAGCCGTAACTTGGAATCATGAAGAGAAGCGGAAAAGAGGAAGGCCAAGAACACATTGCGTCGGATTATAGAAGCAGATATGAAAAGGATGAATTACAACTGGAAGGAGCTAGAAAGGATTGCCCAGGACAGGGTTGGATGGAGAATGCTGGTGAGCGGCCTATGCTCCTTCACGGAGAGTAACAGGCATAAGTAAGTAAGTAATAATGATTTTATAAAAATGCATATTTTCTCATTTTTATAGTTATTCAATTATGGTAATGAATATAATGTTTAGTTAGAACAAAATAATTCAAATGAAATAATTCAAGAAAGCTGATTTGTACAGAAATAAAAACTCATAACTTTAAACGATACTTCTTAATTGAAAGTAATTGAACATTCGAATGGAAGATTTATACGTTTTACTCATACTTCGATTAAGAAGAAACATTGTTTTATTGGATGGAATCTGAACTTTATCGATAAAATTGTTTCTAGTTGTAGCAAAAGGATACAAGTTGATCGGATTGAAAGAAATCAAAATGTATGTTTCATTTTGTAGAAAAAAATATAGCTAACACGGAAATTCAGAGACAGCTTTTTCATTTTATTGTTAGGCCTTATTTTCATTACTATTTCTATGTTCTTGTCACAGACGTATACACTTGGCGACATCTTATAATAAGTTAGTCTATATACTTATTTTCAAGTGATATATATATATATATATATATATATATATATATATACGCGCATACATACATACATACACGTCTTTGTTTTTGTACAGTCTCGAATAGGTTACTTAAAAGTAAATACTAATGATGATGTACACAATAAAAAAATGAGAAATTGAAGAAATAGTGATAAATCATGAGAAAATTATCATACGTGCTGACATTACTACTGAACAACAAGAAAATATGACTGCAATATTGTGGTGTATGCTAATTATGACGACAGACATAAGTAGTATGCAACAACAATCAAAAGTTAAATGGTTGGCAACAGAAGACTAAGAAGATCGAATAGAAGAAAACAGAACGGGAAATAGGAAGAAATTTTGAATTGGAAGAATCGTACAGAATGTAAAGGAAAATTTATGGAAGATTTACAAATAAAGCATTTAATGTATGATTCTCGTAGTTTACAAAGATATTCTGTAATTTTCATATGATAATAAATTGGTTGTCCCACTTAAGTGTTCATTCATTACACTATCTGACGAATAAAAATATTAATAAAAATGTATTAAAATAAACTTTCTTTTGGCATAGGTACGTTTTAAATGTTTCATATGTCGAAACTTCTACGATTTTACTATTTTCTTTTTCATACAAAATCGTACGTTAATATAATAGATCAAGTCGTACGTCCGAACATATTTATGGGTAATGTAGAAATGTGAACTCAGTAATCAACAGATTTTTCTCAAAGCAGAATGGAATTTTTTAAAAGTTATTTTCTCAATTAAATTCATGTTAATAACCACCAATCAATTAGACTAAGTTATGAGTTCAATAGTTAGAGCAAAGCACAACCGAGACTATATATTAGAGCATTAATTAAAATACTAATTAGTTATTTCAGAAAATTCTGTTGAATTTCACATAAATGAACAGTGTGCGAAATTTTTTATAATCTTTTACTTAGATCAGTTATCATTAGTTTGATTGATTTACATGAAAAAATCTAAATAAATTCCTATGCAAACGTCATAATATTTACCTTTGGTACGTCATAGGGTTCAACAATTCGATTGGAGGTACTAAATTCAGAATCTTTCCATAGTTTTCTAGTAGGTCTACTCCTTTCAGACCAGGATCTCTGAAATTTTCCACTTTCTTGTAAATATGCATTATCTGTTGTTTTAGGAAGTCTAAATGAATGACGTTTACGGTCATATCTGTCAAATTGATTACAGAAGGAATTAGATGATGCCCGTTTGTCAGAGATATGAAACTTGAGCTTCCTTTCATTGAAACCGAAAAAAGCAGAATAAGAGAAATATATTATGGAATAAATATCACTAGAGTTATTTAATGATAAATATTTTTAACTATTGACTTCCGCATAAGCAGAAACTGATTGGAATCAAAGTGAAACTTAATTTACGTATAGATTAGAGAAATGATATATGGTTCAATCTTAAAAATAACTAGTTCTAGTATCAATCACAAGACAAATGCTTTAGTGTACAAAAGATAAGATTTTGATAATTAATTTGGATGTAACAAATACGCTGTCACGTATACGTATCTAAATCCTTTATAAACAAATTGCTTATTCTTCACTCTACAATTCAGCTTATTGTGTTATTATTTCAAGTTGATAGTAATCTAAATATCATTAAACTTTAGTGGACTAATGCGGCGTACAAACTAGAATGTTGACAGTTCAATAAATATATTATCAGTTTAAATTATATTTTTGTAAATTAAATTTTTGAATGGGAATTTTCGCTCAACCGAATTTAGTTTCAAACGTCAAAAATCTAATTCACGGAATAAAGATCTAACAATCAATAGATCATTATGTAATTTTACTTGTTTTTATCATTAATTTGTATTAACTGAACAGTCAGAGATGTTGTGCCTACATCACTTCCGGAATAAAAATCAAACTGGTTTCAGTGATTGCTGAAGCAATTCGTTTACCATTCATAATCTTTAAGTTGTTAGGAATGATAGACTCATTTCACCAAACTCTTAGTAACATAAGAGTATACTTTATCAACCAAATATTTAGTTAGAAAATGGCTGACAGTGTGATTTAAATTGCGTATATAATTTCAGGAAAATATGAGATTAATAGACACGATTTAATGAATTCTAAGTAAACGGTAAAATGGCTTAATAATCGAAATATAGAATTAGACTGTGGATTTATATTCCATTGTAACAGTGAACATCAAATGATATTTCCAGATGCATAGTTGAAATCGAAAATGTTAGTCATAGTTATTCAATCAACATTTTTAAGAAATCTCCTCTTTATATCACTCATCATCAAACAATGTCTAATAAAATTAGTTAACTTGTTTATGATTAGATATTTTGGATAATGGTTGAATGGAAAATCTTTTTTGCATTTTTTGCTGAAATAATGGTTAAAGTTGGGTGGAAAAAATATTAAATTATATTTAAATAGAGCAAGAAGGGAACCAATAGCATTAAATTATATTTTAAATAAGCGTAAAAACATCCCATCCATCAGGAAAATCTATATATATCCATAAATATATTTGAGTGAAAGGTCATCCGGGGACTGAAGTTAAATCAAGATTTCCTAAGAAATCATCATTGTCTATCACTGAGAGATTTGTAGGCTAAACCATACATTTTATGATAAAAATAATCTGCCACTGTCCTATCATAAAGATTGTTCTCAGTATATAAATAATGCAATTGAAAGATTCTTTCATATTATTTTGTATGAGAAAAAACATATATCAGTAAACTACGATAGAACGTATATTTAACGTAGTAAAATGAACACGTAATGCAATATTTTTTATCTACAATGAATACAATACAATGTCAACTGATTTATTATAGAAAAAGAATATGTGAATAAAATGCCAAGCAATATATCATTCATTCCCTGTCTATCAGAATTAAATTCACTTATAATGATGCGGTCTATTCATTTGTAAAATTGGATACAATTATAAGGTTATTTTTTTAAAATGCAGTAATCTGGTTTTATTACTTTCACTATGGAAAATTCATTTATTATAATAATAGTAATTCTTATTAACATTTTTTGATTTGAAAATTATATGTTCAACATATTATTAGACTCTGTGGGATGCATATCCTTAAAAAAAAGACTTGTCCAACAGCGTTAAGCAATAAAAGACGATAAAGATAATAAGCGGTTAAAGAAAATAATTACGTGAAATGTAAAGGTAATGTTGAACGTTACATAATTATATCTTGTGTTGATTCTGAGTCATAACTGGTAATATTTGTGACCGGTGTATTATGATGTAATCTTAGTGTGTACAAATCAATCGATCGATTAGTATAATTAAAAATATGAATAGGATTGCGTTAAGAGTTTTCATGTAGTTATAAGGGTTGAATCACACCTTTACTGCCAGTCACTCAAAACAAAATAAAGAATAGCTGGCTTGTCAATTTTTATTAATTTTACTATACACCGAGTTGCCCAGTACTATCAGGAACGACCTAATGTTGCAGAGAACAAACCAGCTTTCAAATGAAGAGAGAATTAGGAAAAAACTCTGTAAAATCCTGGTCGGTCAATGAGTTATTTTGTGAAAGTAACCTTTTTATTCATTATTCAGTCTCTTAAGCATTGTATACGTTTAGCAGTGTAACATTCACTTGTAATTTGATAGTATTTAATAATATTATGAAATTTCTTAGTTATTAATGAAATTTATAGACAGAACATTAATATGCTCAAAATCCTTTGGTTAGTATAACTTTATTATGACAGAAAATATCAGTATCACCTTAATACTTAAATAAAACAGGTAAAAGAATGATCATTTCTATTCTTTCAAAATATTCTGAAAAAAATTGAATCTTTAAATACATGGAATGAACAAAAACACTTGTATCATTTGTTTAATTTTCAAAGAGGCATGATTACGTTTTTCTACCCAGATATACATAAATAATGTTTTGTCTTAACGACGAATAAATGCATAATAACTGCTAGGAATTATTTGTGAACTGTTATTACACTATATTCTTATTATATAACTAATAAGTAACCATATCATATATGTATTCATATTCCCTTCATTATAAGCTTCCGTTTGGTCTATTGACTATTATCATACGATTTACTGTTCTTAAATTGTTCTTAATTTATTAGTTTCAGCCTCTCATACTCATAGCCACTTTTGAACTGATCTTGTATAATTGTTATTTACTATTTTATATTACGATGGTGTCTGATGTGCCTGTGTATAGACTGTGTACGTCTGAAGTATATGATTCATATAATGGAAGCTGAGATTGTATTCTGGACTCAAACGGACAATGCTAGGCAAGTAGAAACAATAAGGAATCATGGTTGACTCTTGGCTGCCCATACTAGTTTCCGCGTCATTAATTTGGCACAGTATCATGGTCAAATAGGTCGGTGTTCTAATTGACGATTTATTCATGTGGTAACTAACAGGGCATAAGAACATAACAAATAGTTTATAAATAAAAAAAATGGTGTTTTGTTTATGAAAACAATCATTTTTATTATCAGATAGTGTGGAAGAAATGTTTTTGTTTAGTCAAAAAAGTTTTCCTTTAAATAATGCCAGCAACTGAGTAAAGAAATCATCGCACACTACGTATAAATATAGCAGTCATATTCTAACTAGAGACAAGATACAACATAAATTCATGGAATTTTAGTGAGAAGCCATAATTAATGCAGATTAACGCTACCCAAGATGTCAGTATGATCATTTATAAATTCTCAAGTTGTTAGTTTAAATGTACAGCGCTTGTTATGAATTTCGACAATCATGAGTCCGATTTTGACAATTATAATGGATATATCTAGTGAGGTTTATCTCTCGATTAATATGAAGCAAACATAAAAGTATTTTCTAGATTACTCAGTGTTAAAGCAAGCAAATATTCTTATTCGTAAATAATTTGAAAATCCAGTAGCATCTACTGGATTCATTCAATTTAGTGAAGTATATCTATGAAGAAGATTATATGTGAACACTGAATTTCAGTTGCATACAATATTTTATTTCGTATACAAAAATGCTATTTGCGAAATGCATGGATTCAATCTATAAAAGCATGCCGTCAAACCCTAAATGTTAATAACCCGACCGTTGTTGCTACCTTGACGTGGTGGTCGGGCTTGCCTATCGTGATGAAGCAACCGAGCTATACTGGCTGGAACAACCGTTCCTCAAGGTCCTACCATGTCAGACAGGTCGGTTGAAGAGCGGAAAGACTAAAAGCAACAAACCCAAGGTCACTAAGACTACTTCTAATCCGATTTCCTTTTCAGGTACCTCCAAAACAACCCTTCCACGGTGTGGGCAACCGGGAAGTGATAACCGCCCTCATACTTCTAACAGCACTCAAGACCACTGTATTCATAATCAACCTCCTCTTCAATTCCTATTATTCCTCCTACATCGACTTTCAACTCTATATTTCCTCTCTCGGCTTCCACCTCAAGTGTCACCGTAGCCAACGATTCTAGTGCGCAAAACACTGTCCCAGGTCTACTGAAACCTCGCTCCAAACTACACATTGGAGCCTTCAACGTACGCACCCTATGTCAAATCGGTCAGCAGGCTTCCTTGGCTAAAACCCTAGAGTCTCTTTCCATTGATGTATGCTGTGTCTCCGAAACACGCATACAGGATTCCAGTGTGGTCATTCACTTGACCTCACCTCGGCAAGACGGAGAGCCAACGAGATACACCCTTCGTGTGTCTGGTGACCCGATGGCAAGTTCTCGTGGACTGGCAGGTGTAGGCATAGCACTAAGCATGAGGGCCGAACAAGCACTGCTAGAGTGGATCCCCGTCAACAGTCGTCTATGTGCTGTTCGGCTGAACGGCTACGTAAGAACTCGGAAGGATAGGGACACACGTCGTTGCCTTTTTGTCGTTTCTGCCTACGCTCCCACTGACTGCAGCTCAGATGAAGTGAAAGATGAATTTTACAGAAAGCTGTCCGAACTTCTTCAGAAAGCTAAACGCTCAGACATAGTACTCGTAGCAGGTGATTTTAATGCTCAGATAGGTAGTTTAAACCAAACAGAAAGGCATTTAGGTGGATATTTTAGTATTCCGACACAGCGAACAGATAATGGTGATCGTCTGCTGCAGCTATGCTCAGACAATCGTTTATTTTTAGCAAACACAAATTTTAAGCATAAGGAGAGACATCGTCTAACATGGCGACCCCCTACACCAAACCAACGATGGACTCAAATAGACCATATTGCCATCAGTCATCG